CCATCTTTTTTTCATGTTTTCTCTTAATTTAATTAACTTTAATATATTCATGGAATGGTGTACATGAAATGGATTTTAGTGGCGCAAAATTTTCAATGCATGGCTCACGAGGTTGACGAATTTAATGACTGTGGGCAGACATATCCTGTTAAAAAAATGAATCTGCATGCGATTCGACTTCTCCGCAAGTGTTATTAATTTTCTTCCCCTTTCATGCAGTAATTTGAATGTGATTGATTTTAGTACCAGGTGCGACAACTAGTCAAATTTTCTGATTCGATGTTTCATATTAAGTCTAAAGCAAGTTATCATTAATTAATACACGAATTACTCTCGCACCCACCAAGTTTTTCTTTGGTGCCTGATCGAATCTGACTTTTTAATATTCAAACAAATTTGTTTTCTTGCGGAATTTTCTTGATTCGTACAGATTAGGCTTAGCTAGCTATATATAGGTTTAAGCTACATATTAGGTTCATCTGATTCTGATCTCCTTTCTATCTCACTCTATCCACGAGCATTAATACTGAGTAACGCCGAGCAGCCTTTTATCATTCAATGTGAACCTAACTCTTTTATTAGGAATTAAGATTAAGTTTGATTTTTGCAAATTTAATTTTTAGAGGTACGTATAATATTTTTTTAATACATGGAAGTGACATTAATGCATGCTAAACTATCCTATGGCACATGGATCATTGAAATCGCTTGATCTCGAGTATTATTGATGTGATGCATATGCAATTTTTTTTTTCTAATTATGTATGTTAGTGGTAATTTAAACGTTTTGATGTGATGCATGTAACATCATCATTGTCATACATTGCTTGTATAAAATGCAACTTGGAACCACTATTATGGCGGGGCCTTTTTGTCCTTGAGAAATATAACAAATTATAGGGTATTAGGGTTTACAATATTTCTTGTATAGTAATTATTCTTCCTTAAGGTAAAAGATATGTCAACAAAAAGGGTTAATATTTGTTGAACAATTCAAAATATATGAATATATTCTATATTATTGCGAATATGTATTTATTACAATATTATTAGTTGCAGCACCAATACCAATTTATGTTTTGTTATAAATGATCTTTTTGCAGCATATAGTGATGCATATATATTGTTTATGATTACAAATGTATGTATTACAATTGTTGTAAATATTTTTGCAATTTACCGTATTTTGCAATATTGCATACAATTTTTATTGTGAAATGTTATATATCATGTACTAGTAGTCTAGTATAAGAAGTTGTTTAACTTGAATTATACAATGATGAGAACCCTAAAACCTTCCATTTTTTTTTAAACTAGAAAAGCATTGTGTCAAAGCGGATTCTCTTTTATTTTTTTTTTAAACTCCATACATTACATTTAAATTCTTATTAAAATTAACTGCATATGTCCTTTGACAAGAAACGCATATGCCCCCTCTTTCAAAAAGGGTATTGTCACTCTAATATAATCAAATGACAAACACACGGAAACTTGATGTGCATGATTCACCAACATATGAAAACTTGGAGGCCAGTAAAGTAGCGAGTTTAGAATTTCGACAATCGTTATAGTAATAAGTAGATATAAACGGGGTGTTTCTATTTGTTTCACCTAATATTCTAGAAATTGTATGGATGTCAACAATTAATTTGTGGAATGGACGCAAGCAATGAGCTGAGAAGAAAGCTATTGCGGTGTTAGGAGAAATTTTCATGGTTAGTCGATCCGTAGATATTGTGATTGGCCGTTTCCAGTTAGGCGGAAAAGGGATGGGCATGTGAGTTGTCTGAAAAAAAATAATGTCTAGGAGAATCTGAGGCTACTCATTTTTAATGCGAAGTTGTCGAATTGGAGGGATCCGTGTTTCTATTGCCAATTTGTGTCCCATAAAATCAAGCGTAGGGCTTTAGCCGTCACTCTCCATATATATAAGACAAAACACATTTTAACGTGTTTTTATTTTTTTTTTGGAGAACCTTTAAGTAAGGGAGGAGTATTAATTCAAGAAAAGGATTCAAACTCAAGTTTTAAAACAGTTAATACATCAATTTAACATTGAATCAAATGTTCAAATGTAAATTTTAATCTTTAATTTTTAGGCGACCGCATGTGATTTGAAGGTGAAAAATGAAGTTAGGTAAAGTAAATTGCTCAGCTAACCATAATACACGGATTAGGAACTCGGCATGCACCAGCAAATGTGATCTTTAAAGCGGTTTAGCAAAACATAACTGTTGCAGTTATTTGATCTATTGAGAGTCTTTGCAAATAGCAAATGATATAAGTACGTCAAGTTGCCTGGTTACATGCATGATTCGCTTAAAAATTAATCAGTTTGACAACACAAGAAAGACATGGTACTCTACGCCGGAGAAGAGAAGGCGGTGTAGTCATAATTATTCGTGTTCACTGTCCACATTTTTATGTTCTGTCAAGTACCGTACAAGTGAAAGGCTGGAACCTGGAATAGGAATGCGGAAAATGCATGTGAGATGCAGAACTTGTGAGAAAACTCCCATGGACAATTGGACATCATTCAAATAATTTGAAAAAAAAAAAAAAAAGAACCATCTCTGTTGTTAGAACTTGGAAAACCCATACTTCTGCAGCCGTTACAAGCTGACAAACTCTCGCCTCGTCCATTACTGGAGCTGCCAACAATTAAGCTTTTATACCAGACAAGAATCCTAATAAAACCTGGAGGTAAAAGTCCGTTATGACAAAACTTGGATCTTGGAACCTGTGTCAATAAATTATTCAATCAAAATTGTTTTAGTGGACTACCAAACCAAAGCCACGTAAAAAGCATTAGGTTGTTGAACATTAATTCTAGCATCAGAACCGAGAAAAAACCAATCATATGATTCGTGATGATGAGACGTAACGCTACGAGGATAAACAATTTATTGCATTCAATTTGTTTTACGCGGAGTGAAATTGATCAGTTCTCTTTCCATACTACTACAGTACTATTACATTAATTTCTATTTTCATCACTACCCAACAAAATGGAAATTAGTGGTACTAATTTTACTTTTAAGGCATTCATATTAAGCCAGTTAACCATGTTCTATTACCACACAAATTTTACCAAACTTCATATATTAAAATATGAAAGCATATTATTTATAATTATTATATTACATTAATGATGTACAATTCAAAATTATCCTAAGTATAAATTGAAACACAATTTTTGCCTAACTCCATATATTAAAGTAAGATAATATATTATTTATAATTATTACATTACATCAATTACGTCCAATTCAAAATTAAGTATACTCTATTAAAATTTTATATTAAATTTATATTTGAAAGTGGTAAATGATAAATTTTTTAATTGATCAATTACAAAATTGAATTAAAAAAATTTATACATGAAATAATCTGCATTTTCTGTTTACATTGAGATTCACTTTTTTCAATAAACTACAATTATCTTTTGATATAGTTTTTTTATATCTCATTGGTACATTTGTAGATTGCTAGCCATATATAGTGGCATATTGTTAGATTTGAAGGCGTGCTTACCTATTGTCGCTTAATGAAACAATATATAAAAATATATATAATTTGAAAAAAATTGATTAATGCAACTGATTGCGCACGTTCTCTTTTGGAAGGATCACACGCACGACAAACCCCACGCTTCTATGAAATTGGAAATTACATACACTCTTTATAAAAAGTTGGAGCATAAATCTTTTACAAACAAGACAGTGCAGATTTGAAATATGAAAAGGTTGCACTAAATTTCAAAAGCATAAACCTCAAATCTCCATTGTTTTTCTACTTTATCTGAAAAAAAAAGAAGCACGTTTCTAGATGTTTTATATAGGACCACAATCCACGACTTTAAGCCTGTAGGTAATAGTACGTTAAAATATTACCTTAACTTCATTTCATTTCAATTATTTTCTTCTTGTGTGGCCTTAATCAGAAAGCTGGCGAAGCGATAAAATAAAAATGATTGCACGGAAAATGTTGTGGAGATTGGAACACCATACGTACTACTAGGACCAAGTCTACAAAAGAAAGAAAGAAAGAAAGAAAAAAAAAAAAAAAACACACGCACGCACAAAGCCAAAACTTCTACTGGTAAGTTTTTTGGTTTTATTTATTTATTAATGTACTTGTGTTTGCGGGATGTTGCAAATGTAAATTATTTTTAATTTTTTATTGAGTTAATTAGTTAAATATTGACATAAAAAATTTTAAAAAGTTTTTAATTTATCAGTTGTCTTATATACTCTTTCTGTTTTATTTTTTAAATATAAAAATCTGAATTTTAAAAAATTTATACATAATTTTGTTATAAATAATAATCAAAATTGAGTTGTTTGATAAAAAATCAACGTGAACATCTAATAATAGGATGAAGGAAGTATCTGTTAATATTCAGGCAATCCAAATTTTCTAAGGATGCGCGAAAGTACGTAATTAATCAAGAGGCAAAATTTATTAAAAATATGATACTAAAATATGACTTTTAATAAATCACATAATTCATATGCTATCTAATATAATATATAAATTAATCTAAAATAACAATTATTTTATTGAATTAATATATATTTTCAAAAGAAAAAATTACCACGTATGCATCAAACTATGAACTAATTATAAACTTTACCCAAAAATAGCCTGTGTCAATCCAAGACACCGCTAAGATTAACTTAAAATTATTATTATTATTATATATAAAAAGGTTCAGTATGGTATATGGTATCGAATATTGATTGATTGCTGTATTTATATTCTAAGAGGAAGAAAAAAAAAAGAAATTTTATTTTATTCATGTAATCAAGGGAGGAGGGCCCCACACCCATCAGTAGTCACTGGGCCTCTCGCTATCAATTCACGTGCTAGTGGTGCCAAATAATGACGAACCTAATAGGCTAATCTGAACACTTTGGTCCCATCCACACCAACTAAGCTTCTGTTCTTATAAACTCTACTCGCTCGCCCTATTTTTCTTCCATTCCCTCCGTTCCGTATCTATTTTTTCTTTGAATAAATAAACGATAATTTTCCTTTGTTCGTTGATCGTTGAAACCTTCTCTCATATTAATTGATTTTTGGCCTTTCTGTAGCTTCCTTCCTCAATCTATCAGTATATATACACGTCAAAAAGCAAATACCTCAACCTCTCCAACCATTTATTGTAAAATTTAATGTTTTTTACAATCTCTCTTGTTTAAGAACTAAAAGGAAGAAAAAAATAATTATTTCGGGCCCTCATCAGCTTTATAGATTCGTTTCTCTTGCCACTCCAGTCCACACGTTTTCTTTTCTTTCTTTCTTAATTTTTTTTCTGTTGGCCATGGAAGAGCTAATAATTTCTCCATCTTCATCTTCTTCACTGGTTTCTTTTTCCCAGGAAACTCCACCTTCAACTCTCCAGCAGAGGCTCCAATTTGTAATCCAAAGCCAGCAAGAGTGGTGGACATATGCTATATTTTGGCAGACATCAAACGATGACCACGGTCGTTTGATCTTGGCTTGGGGAGATGGTCATTTTCAAGGCACCAAAGATACGTCTCCAAAATTAAGTGTTAATAATATTTCCAACAGTCAGGGCTTACATAACGAAAGAAGAAAGGTGATGAAAGGAATCCAAGCCCTCATTGGAGACAACCATGACATAGATATGTCGATGATCGACGGCAGTGATATCACTGATGCTGAGTGGTTCTACGTGATGTCTTTGACTCGATCTTTCTCTGCTGGAGATGGGATTCCAGGCAAGGTTCTTAGTACTGGCTCTTTGGTTTGGTTAACCGGTGCTCATGAGTTGCAATTTTACAGTTGTGAAAGAGCTCGAGAAGCACAAATGCATGGCATTGAAACACTGGTTTGTATACCAACTTCTTGTGGGGTTCTTGAACTAGGATCTTCAGATATGATCAGGGAAAATTGGAGTTTAGTCCAGCAAGTGAAATCCCTATTCGGGTCCGATCCCATTGGCTTGGTACCAAAGCAATCAAGTCCAAATCCAAATATAACCCCTGGTCCAATCCAGTTCCTTGACAGAAACATCTCTTTTGCAGACATCGGCATAATAGCCGGTGTTCAAGAAGAAGATAAAAGCCCTGATAACAAGCAAGAAAACCACAGCAACCAAACGAAGAAAGATTCCACAAAACCTGAGCAATATTCTTATGCCGAGTCAGAGCATTCAGATTCTGATTGCCCGTTACTTGCCATGAATAATATAGAGAAGAGAGTGCCAAAGAAACGTGGAAGAAAACCCGGGCTCGGCAGAGAGACACCGTTGAACCACGTGGAAGCTGAGAGGCAACGCCGTGAGAAGCTGAACCACAGGTTCTACGCTCTACGAGCTGTAGTCCCGAACGTGTCGCGCATGGACAAAGCATCGCTCTTATCTGACGCTGTTTCGTACATCAATGAGCTAAAAGCGAAAATTGAAGAATTGGAATCACAGCTTCAGAGAGAGTGTAAGAAAGTGAAGGTAGAAATGGTTGATGCTATGGATAACCAAAGCACTACCACTTCTGTGGACCAGGCAGCCAGGCCTAGTAATTCATCATCCGGAACTGCTGGGTCTGGTGGCCTTGAAGTTGATATCAAGATTATGGGAAATGATGCAATGATAAGGGTTCAATCAGCGAATGTGAACTATCCAGCTGCTAGGTTGATGGGTGCCCTTCGTGATCTAGAGTTTCAGGTCCATCATGCAAGCATGTCGTGTGTTAACGAGCTCATGCTCCAGGATATTCTCGTCAGGATTCCTGATGGATCGAGAACTGAAGAAGGCCTCAAATCTGATCTTCTCAGGAGGCTAGAGCAGTAAGGTTATCTAGTAAGAGTTTGGAATATCTGTTTTTAATGCTTTATTTTCTTTGTAATATCCCTTTATTTTTTGTTCTCCAAGTTCTTTTTGGTTTATTTTGTATTTTTGCTTCATTGGATTTCCCTTTGAGCTTTATTTTCTGCTTGACATGTAATTAAGGAGATAAATTCAAGCAGCTTTTGTTTTTTAAAGTTTCTGCAGTACTTTCTTTGATCTAAATTTTCTACATATCTTTCTTGTGGCTGTTCCCCAAGTCTCTGACAAGTTTGAGCTTGAAAGGAAACCAAACCTTAACCAGTGAACCTCCTAAAAATTAAAATATATATAAACAAAAAGGGACAAGAAAGCATATTGATATATACATGCACGTTTATTAACCGCTAATTTAATATATATTGTAAAAGGGGTGTCCAAATTAAATTTCCAAACTTTTCTGGGTCCATTAAATTTCCATGCCCCAAAAAATCTAATAGTGTCCATAACATTTGTGGATGAAAAAGAAAAAGAACGAAAACGAGGGTTGGTGGGTATTTAGTATTACCCCCCCTCTCAAAAAAAAAAAAAAAAAGGTGGGAATCAGGAATCTACGACCCCACCTTCACCAACAATTTAAAGATGGACCTCCTCCTCCCCTCCCCTACCCCGTGTAAGATGTGGTATCTATCTCCGCATTTAAGTTTAGGTTCTTGATCATTTAGCCTCTTACAAATTTAAAATCGTTTGACAGATAGAGTGACAAAACATACACGAAAACGTACTAGTACTACTTCTTTGTAGCCTTGTAGCAATCTTTTCTGGCTTTCTCTGTTGTTGGGGGAGGGGGGACTGATAAGGCCGTACTACTGGGCAATCGTTGAGAAGTGGGGACCGATAAGGCGATACTACTGGGCAATAGTTGAGGACAAGTGCATAGTAGAAGATCGAGAAGGTAAAATATATGTTAAATCTAAATATAACGTTAATATCGAGATAAATATAATTAGAAAATAAATAATTTTTAAAGATATCAAACTAAGGTTAGTGTATAATAGTAAATAGAGTTTTAAAATTATTTGACATTTCAAAGTTAATTTTAGCAATTGAAAATTATTAAAATTATTTTTATATCAAATAATATTTTGATTAATAAATAATTAAAAATAATAAAAATATAATTATATTTCAAATGGTTTTTCAAAAAAATTTAAATATCTATTGATTTGTCATTTTTTTATTTACCATTTTATTATTTAATTACTACTTTGTATATTAATTTTATTTATTAAATGTTATTCATTTTATTTAATTTTAGATGAATGTAGATTTATTATTTATTTGTATTAAAGTTTAATGTTTTAAAGAGATATTTTAAAAAAAATTAATTACTTAAAAATACAATTAGATAAAAAAAATAATGATGTGATAAACATGAAATATTATTTTTTAAATTTACTAAAATTATTTTAATTTTAAAATTTTAAATATATGGATAGAATTGTATTAAAAATATTCATGAAAACAAAAATGTCCAAGTCACTTCCAAGTAAGGACCAGTGGCTCATCACACCGTTCCTTTTGCAGTAGAAAAACGACGGTCTACCACGTAACCTCAACTGGACGATCCAAATGATATATCACGATAGAATTACATGAAAAAATTGCTTAATCTTGCTGAATTACGACACCAGTTAAATTCAAATGAAAACCAAATTAGTAACCCCTTACTTAATATTTCTACAGTTTTGGCTCGAGAAAGAAATCAACTCAAAATAATGTTTCGTCCACTTAAGTAAAGTAGCTTTACGTGGTTAACAGTTTTTAATTAGTAAAAAGTAGTAGATGGTTTTTATTGACCAGTGATTTTCGAAACACATATTTTAGCTGCGGTAAGATGAAAAAGGATCATCGGTGATAAGGTGGGTGAAATTTTTTGAGGGACGAGACGACTGATCAGAGGATGCCAGCGGTGCATTCTAAGGGGAAAATAATTGGTGTCAGGAGAAGGTTACATTTAAATCTGTGCGTTGTATTCTGCAAAGTTATGATGATATGTCAAAATCGTCATCAGGGGATTTCTTTCATTTTTGTTGACTGATTTTAAATTTGGGTTTGTGTTTTAATTAATTATTATCCCAACAATTAAGTATATGTTTAGTGGTATTTGCGGTGGCTTTTCTGCTGAATGGTTGTCCTTGCAAAATTATTGGCTGTAATTGAAAGACGTCCAAGGTCGTGGAGTGCTATATTTACGTGCTTGCTCTATCTTTCTATATTTGCTGGTGCCCTATGCCATGGCCTATAGGCCTTACCCCTTCTTTAATCCTTTCTCTCCCAAGCAAATTTTTCTTTAATCACATAAAAAAAATGTAATTTTCCGATGAATATTTCCTACGAATTGGTTCTCTCCATATGGTAGGCGTAAGAAACTTAATAATATGGAAACTTTATTATTCAAAAAGTTGGAAACAAATCCTAATCGTAGCACTTAAAGAATCAATTCCATCACGAAGCGTGGTCATCAATCAAAATTATCCAGGGATTTTACTGTAAATGACGTCACTCTGGCTAGATTCAATGGGCGAAACTGCCCATCATCCAGCTTGAAATCCAATCAAAAACTATCAATCATTCGATTATTGGAAAAACAAAAAAGTTTCAAAAGATTAAATTGACATGGATGAAGAGATTGAAACCAACCAGCCGCCTACATGACTAGGAGGAGAGAATTCAATGTTCCAGAGTTCGAATCGTCCCATTGACGGGACTTTAAGATTGCCGCATGCTTATTTCGTGAGGAAAGCTTTTCCTAATTGCGGAAAATGGGACAAGTTTATTTTATTTTATTTCGTACGTTGTTGTTTGTTTGTTTTTTTTTTTTTTTTTACAAATAATCTTTGTTTTACTAGTCTTTAATGAGTTTAAGAATTGGGTTTCAATTCAATTTTTTAATAAAAAATCATGAAAATTAAGTGCATGAACGAGTATTAAACACGTGGTGCATTGCTTTTACAGAAGGATAAAAAATTGGCACGTGAAATAATTGGCATTTTGCGACAGGGGACCACGTGATGACTAACAATGCAAACAAAGAAACATTGAATATAGTCCTAGTAAAATACTACTAATACTATTCCAATCATGCATTGTATTGCAAAAATTTGTTTGGTCCCGATGAAAGTTATGGAGTCTTTTTTTTTTTTTTAATTTAAATTTTTATTGGTTACTATTATATTAGCCAATCGCTAAAAGCCAAAGAGTTTTTAGGCTGAATAAAAACCTCTATTTCGCTAGAGCATTTAGTTCAATAATTAAATTTTTTTTCGCTTATCTTGAAAGCAGAATTTAAAACCCTACGATTTTTTAATATTTTAAATTACAATTAAAATTTTAATATTTTAATATAAAATAACCCAAAATCAAAAATATTTTTCTCAATTCAAAACTAAATACTTAATTTGACATAAAAGGGGTGGGTATGCACTTTTCATATTTATTGTTTATATGATATGAAATTATATATATATTTATATAGTACACCACGGTGCTTGGTTAGGTAATGAAAATGAAAGAGAAAAAAAAAATTAAATATCTAAAGCGACAGTTACACATCTCCACTGCTGGTAATTAAGGAAACATGGACAAATTTCAATGATGTAATTCGCCAGAAAATAACCTTAATTAAACAATATGTTTCTTACAATTATAAGTTGAAATCAAACTGAAAGAATGTATGATTTAGATCAATTAATTTATATAATTATTTTTAAAATATGACATTTAATATTTAAAATTTAAAATTTATAATATTTCGTTTATTCTTAAACCGTAATTGATTTTGTAGAAAAAATCAAAATAATAAAAAGGTAGCTATTTTTGAATTGATTAAAAAAAGATAAACTTTTAATAAGTAGCAAATTGCTTTAACATCAGTTAATATTTGGTATCCCACTCCTAAGTTTTGTATTTTACCCTACTCTCTCCATGTCTTAATTATCAGTTATTGTTTGGTATCCTATATTCGAATTTAAGACACCTAGTTACATGTCTTTCTACCAAAAATAATGGTTTTCATTATAGGATACATGTACGAGTCCACTGGACTTTTCCACATTTTGTTTCAAGGCTAGGCCCAAAACATTGCAGCGGCGTACAACTTTCCCGGTCGGGCAAGCTTAGCCAATTTTATTAGCATTATCTGGCAAAAGCTTCATGGATAAAACCACATTCATGCACCTGCATGCATGAATACATACATACGTACATATGAATATGATTAAGATGAATATGGGAGGACAATAAACATTTGTTTGCTTCGTTCAAGTGTTAGAAGCCAAAGATGTAGAGCCGAACGATGGGACGAGATGATAGAAATCAGGTTAGGTTCGTGATAGTGAAGAGAGAGAGAGAGAGAGAGTTTGGGCCCAATGGCGGAATCCTCCTAAATGCAATAATAGTTGGGCCCTAAGTCTCTTAGAAGACACAGATTAAGAGGAGGGGACCTGTATTGCTGTTGACAAGGCAGTGAGGCTGTTTGATTATAACCTCCATGGTGGGGAACTAGAATAATGAATGTCTCGTGAGCTCCAAAGTTCCAAGTCATGAGATTTTTCCATCCTTTTCTTTTCTGAAGTTTGATCTTTGGATATTTCCACTAAACTTGCACCTCCAACTTCACTATGTATTAATTACAAGTTGTTTCTGGTTCTTCAATGTCAAAAGTTTTTTTTACAATGAGGACCTTGCTACAAGGTTACTACCTTCCTACTACTATTTCACCGCCATCAATCTGATGACTTCCTACTACAAAATGAGACTAGAGGTGAGGCAGATTTGATCGAGTTATTTTGGATCCAAAGAAATTTGAATCAGTTTAAAGTTTTATATTCATATTGGGATCTTTAGATCTAAATTATTAAAATTTTAAATTAAATTAAATTAATTATAATTGATTTGAATGAATCTTGCAAATTAATTTAAATTGAAATTGCTGATTTTATTGTTGTAATCAAATTAAGAACCATTCTAATTAATTAGATAAAATTTTCAAATTCAAATTAACTCTGTCAACTTTCTATCAACTTTAGATAAAAACTTTATATATATAATATTAGATTGTTAGTCTAAACCCTATATATAGTTTGATAAAAATATCAGACTCTGGCAATAACAACACGATTACAAAACAAAGAAAGCTTTTATAATACTATTCAATGATTGGTTTTTAGTCCAAATAAGAAATTGCTATTGCTATCATAAAATGATATTACTTTATCCAACAAGATTGAGAGAAATCTATGAACTTTGCCTTCCAACTAGCAAGAAGCAACAACTAACAACCAATCAATAGATATGAGTTTCGACGTCAAGCTTTTTGGCCTAGATAATCATGGAGACTAATTATGGTTCTTAATCAAACATTAATATATGAGAGACTTCAAACAAAAATTAAGTTCCAAGGATGCACCAACAACCAATGTAAAAAAAAATCCCCTGCCAAAATCATTTCTTTGTTCTTCCGTTAATCTTTGTTTAAAATTTCTATTATCAACTCTATGGAAAATGCCATTATTACACAATCAACAAAGAAACCAAAGTTCCATCACAAAATTTTTTACAATTTACCGTTGATAAACCTAATAAAATTATTTCCCTTCTAAGGGAAAAAAAAAAAAAAACCCTATCTTTGCTATCAAATCTGTTTTGCTAAAGCAGTATCAATGACCCAATGTTGATCATCTGTTTGGATCCTGAGATTATTCATCTGTGCAAACAAATTTACTGCTCTTCTTACACCACGGTTATCTGCCGCCGTAAAATAATCGTGCCCAAAAATTATCCCACCGGGTCTTAAGATCCGAAACGCCCGGTTTATATCTCCCCAAGCGGATATGAAATCATGACCCGCATCGATCTCAATTAAATCCGCGGTTATTCCCCACTTACAAAACTTCTCAAGACCCGACCCTCTTGAGAATGGAACGGGTAAAACCGACCCGGTGGCGTTGAAATAAACGACGTTTTGCATAAACTGTTGAAGCAACAGAACGTCGCCGTTTATCATTTTAATGTCTTTGAAACGGTCTCTGAAGCCTGGCCATCCACGAAAGTCGTCGAGGCAGAGTATCTGTGTTTGTAGGCTGAGTTTACGGGTCACGTTGACCATGTGCAGAGCCGACGCACCCAAAAAAGTGCCTACTTCGATGATAACTCGGGGTTTGACTCGTTTGATCAAGTGTTCAAAAACGGCACCGTAGGATCCCCAGCCTTTGATTCTTTTTTGCTTAAGGAAGGAGCGAAGGTGAGGTGGCGGGAAATTGGTGTAAGGAGAGCAGCCATTGAAGACTCGGTCAAGAATCGTTGGGAAGACCAGGTTGGGAGGGAGAGGAGAGTTAGAGCAGTGAGCGGTGACCCGAAAGTTGTCGAGTTGGGTGGGTAAGTTGGCGAATTGGAATACTGAAGGAGGAGGAGGAGTTAGTTGGGAAAGCTGTAGTTGTAGTCGTTGTTGTTGTTGGGGAGGATAGGAGTGAGAAACGTAACCCAATGTGTAGCTGAGCAAGACGAGGATAACGTAGGCGCTGGTATGAGTGAAGAGTTTGGTGATGGAAAGCTTGTTTCTTTGGTGGTTTTGAAGGTGAAGAGGAGGGCGTTGGTCCTCTTTCATGGCGATTTTGGTTTTCCTTTTCTTGGTTGAATCTTGAAGAGAAAAAAAAAAAATTGAGCAAGTTTTGGTTTGGTTTAATTTTGATACTAAAAGGCAACTGTCGGTTGTTTAAGAAAGATAGGGAATTTAACTACCAACGATTAGCAAATCACCCTTCTTTAAAAGACAATAGCAAACGACAAAAGATATTAATCTATTCACCCAAGAAAAGAAAAAAAGAAAGGAAGGATTTGTTTGATCAAATTGTGAGATAAAAGATAGGATCTTCGAAAAGAATTGATGAGATAAATTGCGTGTTTACTACAAGAAATGGGTGTTTGAGAAAGACCGGAAAAAATCGTGCGTTTGAAAAATCCAGGTTCAAAGTATTGAAGAGGGAAGAAAAAGGGACAAAGAAAAGACCTTGAGTTGGGATTGGATCATGGGAAGTCTGGTCTGGCCTTTGCTTTTCGTACTTTTCTTTTGTGCCAAAGATTGAGACAGATTTTGTAACGTTTATAAAGTCTTTTAGCAATTGGAATTGTATTTTCAACGATTGAGAGCTGATACTTAAAGAATATGTTTAAATTTTCTCACGTCTTTTCGTTCTCCTTTTTTTTTTTTTTTGTAATTATGATTCGGATCTTACAAGATAAAATGGCAACATCAAGTTATTGAGTATCTACCGGCTGAAGAAATGCCTAAATCTTTTTATTTCCATTGCATGAAAGATTGAATGCAAGGAATTAAAAAGTCATAATTGATCATGGCTTGGTGGTTGGATATATACAGTTTGGAGCTTGTAGATGCAGCCTTTTTCAGTAAGGATTCGAAACTACTGAGTTTAACAAAAACAGCTTTCGAATCCTTTTTTTGTTAAACTTTTCTAATCTGAAAAAAAAAAAAGAAAGGAAATTTAAACTCTGTTCCATGGACAGGAAATCATACACCAGCTAATTGAATCAAACATTTGGAAGATTTTTTGTTTGTTCAACTTATTAATGCTAATAAAAACAGCTTCAGATTGATCTCCAAACTTATAGTTAATACAAGACTCTCACCCAAAGGTTCCAGGAGAATCATGATCATGTTCATGGATATTTCCTTTTCTCGTTATTTTTAGATCCTTGAGAAGACAAATTTCTTTCTTTTCCTCTGCTCTCTTGTTATTAGTTTCTTTTTACCTTTCCTTCCTCTAAGTTGGGCGCCATTTATTTCTTCTAGTAATGGAAATTGAATTTTCTCCCAACTCAGATGATTAAAAGGTAAGTAAAGCTAACAATTCTGGCACACTTCCTTCACCTAGAAACTATAGAGATTAGAAACATCATCTTCGCGCAACCATTGCCTTAGCCTCATCTCATGGTCCCCTGCTTGTAAATGAGAAGCCAACTGCTTACAGCTCCTTAACATGACTTAGGAACTTGACCAGTCATTTTTGACATTAAGAGCTCTCGTGGTAGGTTCCATTTCGACCACACCTTGATTTACATAGGGTTTTAAACACAACCATTGCCAGTAACAACTAAGGGAACTTAAATCGGATCACAATTCAGATACACGCTGCAAAGCTTTAATAGGTACAAAATTACAGCACTGGAGGTAGTGACCACATGCTTTAAACCTGCTTTTACAAGTAAACCATCATTGTCTAACCGCCTGTTTTTTTAATTCATTGGCATGCCAAGAACCTCAACAAAAGTTACCTACCTAAACTGTTAAATTAAAGAGCAACAAGAAAATTTTAATTCTAACACCGTCTCTCAAAAGATCACCAGAGAAATACAACTCCAATTGTAAGAGGCACCAACCATCAACAGCCACAAGTAACCAATCAAAACAACCGATTAAGGCAGTCACTTTGCCTCCTCCAGTCCATCACCACCACTGTGCCCACCAGCGGTGCTGCCCTGTCCATCAGCACCAGCTTCAGAGCCCTCTTGCTTGCTTCCACCACGTCCACTGTTTGGGCCTGAAGGTAAAGGGGGACCACTACTGGTGCCACCTCCAAGAGTAGCATCAGTGTGCATAGGATGCATGCCATTATTGGGCCCTCCAGGTCTGATTCCAATTTGACCTTGCATGGCTTGTTGATGCTGCTGTGGATCCTGTATTTGATGTGGGCTATTGAATTGCAATGGCACCTTTTGGGGGAAAATACCAGGTTGCTGTGCCATTGCAGCAGCCTGAGGATGTTGTATAAAATATCCTCCTGGTTGCATTGCAGGATGTGGTGCCATCTGCAGTTGTCGGTAAACATGTGAGCAAGCAGTGTAACAGCAGATAGACTAGAAGAAACAATTTATTATTAACACTAACCTGAGGAGGCATTGTTGACGTTTGTGGTTGTGCATCAGCGATTGCAGCTAAGTACATCAAATTCTTTTGCAGCTGAGCTTGATACCTAAATCATCAAAACCTTATATGCATGCTGCCCAAATGTCATACATGTAAGCATATGTGCATGTGTGGATGTGCAAAACCAAACACACGTATGGGAAGAAAAAACTGACAGTACTTTATGGGAACAAAATGAAATTGTAACAATTCAGTATTAACATTTAAATATTTCTATTGTATCAATTAACAAGCTTAATAGGTTGATAACCTCCTCTCTGGCTTCTAAAATTCACCTCCTTGGTACAATCTTGATCAATAACCCACAAAGATAATTGACTAAATGGGGGAGGGGTGGAGAGTAGGAAAGGGAAACCCCACTGCATTATCAGTGACACCACACCATGTGCTAATGTCAACAAACAGTAGACATACTGGTACAATAAACTTGGTTTCTATCATAAATCCTTGGCGGCATATTATGAAGAGAAACCAAGATAAAACAACTGAAAGTTTGTAGCTTCTGCTAATCAAAAGAAAACATGTTATTATGCCTCCTCCAGATATACAATGCTTGAATTATGCAGGGACCAAAAACAGACAAGTACACCACAAGGCTTATTGCCACAAGCTAATCACATCCACGATGATAAATAATATGGTGATCATTAGCTGTCTATGCCACCCAAAGCAGTAAGAACAATGGAAGCCAAACACTAAACTAGCTCCTCAAATTAGGTTTGGAGTTAGGATTGTTCCATCTTTATATGCATTTAGAAACCTCAAATATATCCACAAAGGAAAGACTTTATCTCACTTGGATCTAGAGACTTCTCAATTCTGGTCCCAATTTCAACTAGAAACATATACAGTTATCTAGGATGAAGGAAAAATTAATAATTAATTGACAGTAACATTAGATACTTTAGTTCTAGCTACAAAAGCCACAATCTCAAAGTAGAAACAGCTGTTACTGATACAAAGTCTGGCAACAGTTCTGACAAGCTAATGCGTCTAACAGTTTAGACAAGCCAGTTCAAACTTGAAGGAAACACATGTTCTAAACCTCAAATGTAAATTTAAAATGCTGCATGCACCGCTAAAGGTAGATAAAAGAAAAAGAGAAATTTATCACTTACTGGGCGCATTCATTGAGTTTTCCAAGATTCTGATTGTCCAAAATTGCCAAAATCAGCTTCTTGTTCTCATCAAGGCACTGCCATAAGAATTAAAAAAAAAAAAAAAACCACAAGAACAGCTTAATGCCTCTATTATCATAATTCTATTCTTTAGCATTAAGTGACAAATGCTGTGAATATGCACAACAGATGGCAACAGGGGCAAAGATTTATGCTCTTCTCTTAAAACATCTCTCCTAGAATCATGAAAAAAAAAAAAGAAACAATAAAGCCATCTATTACAAATCTACGGTACACACTTTACTCAAAGATAGCTTGTCACCCAATATCAAAAGTTTTTTCATTTAAGCACTTCTTAAATTCTTCTCAAGTTTTTTGCAACCTTGGGTTCCCAAAATGGATGTTGACCCAGGAAATGATAGCCCATCAAATAGGAAGTTGCTGAATAAAAAGGATAGTAGGATTTCAAGAGTATAGAGCCCTTCAAATGCATTCCCTTCAATAGAACAAATGATAGCTATTAAGTTTTTGGCTTAGTTCAAAACAAAAACTGTAATCATCAATGAGAATTAGCATATAAAGCCCAAATCTTATGCTTAGAACCTTCTAAAACTCAGCCAATAGTTTTGCTAAATTAACCACCGGTCTTGCATCTCATAAGCCATAACCATTAGACTTTCTGGGAATAGAAGGCAATATCAATAAATTCTTTAATAAAATTGATGTTTAATATTTACAGCATAAGATAACTAATGTTCTTCCTCTAAAAGAAGCATTACTCTTTCAAGGATAAGAACAAATGATCTAAAGTGAAACCAGAAGATTTCATCTATCACCTGTCTCCATATAAAATAAAGATTTTCTATATGCAAGGTAAAATAAATCTGGTGAGGCATAAGCATACAAGGACTTCCTTTTTCACTTGCTTTAATTAATTTAACTCAAGCAAGGACCTGATGAAAAGCTACTTGGACTGCTTTAGGAAATCAGCCTCATAGGCCCTTTACCGGTTAACCACTATTCAAGCCTCTGCTGCAATAGCCATAACTTATCATTGTTTGGAGCCATGTAGACAGTTTAACCAGTCTTGCTACTCCAACTCGAAGCCATTTCCAAACAAGGTAATCAAAAGGGAATTGAGTGATTATAGATATGATATATTCTGAAAATCTATTTACTATCAGAAAGAACAATGTTTTTTTATAAAATATGCAAAACCTCAATATGGATCAATATAAATGCCAGTAAAATTTCCAAGAGATCGATTTTAATTTTCATGTCAATATTCCAAATAAGATATTTCACAGCATTAAAGAATTAGAAGTTATATCACCTTTCCCAGTAAAAAATGTAATTTAAAGTTCCCTGGTGGTGCCCAGTTAAATAATAGCAGCAAATTACCAGTTTAATTAACATGATAAAAATGACTTCTCATTCAGTGTAAGCATTTAGAAAGGAAAATAACGTTGAACTCAAAAATTGAAAGAGAGATTACTTTATCCTGACAGTACAGACCTTAAAACTCCAAAAGCAAAGAAAAGCTATGATAAGGGTGGACATCATAGATTAATTTCTAAAAGGTGTTAGATGACTTCCAAAAAACTCATTTACACACTTCATTAAAGACAGAAAGAAACAAAAAAAAATAAAATTCTAGAGATAAAACACTAACAATCAAATCGACAGGGGTAATCAGACTGTTGATTCTTCCCAAAATCAAGCACAATCACCCAATGTGCCAGATGTATCTCACCATTCAACATGGCAGAAGTCTCTTGCTTTCGACAACAGATACTTAAATGACAGACAAAAAAACCAATTTAATCAACCCCATTGCATCTAACAAAAAAGAATAATTAGATCCCCCCTCCAGTGCCAATAACTTTCATTCATCTCTCTAGTTATCCATCACTGTTATCATAACTTCTTAAAACCAACATCAACCTCCTATAACATTATCGGCATCATTGTTCTATTCCAAGTAATTATCAATATAGACGCAATCAATTCACAGAAAACCACAACTCTACCATCTCATATACAGTATGTTTGTAAACATCCACAAGAAAAGGGTCTCATTTTTTCTTCTATCTCATGAAAATGAAAGAGAGAGAGAGAGAGAGAGAGAGAGAGAGAGAGAGAGGTTTCGACCATAATTAAAAATTAACCAAAAAAAAAAAATGAACAGCTCCAGGTCACCATCTCCTTCTCAATAACGCCATAACTATAAATACGAGCATTAAATTCAATATATACGGACACTAAACGAAAATAAAAGGAAAAAAATAATATAAACAAATACCTTCTGAATCTGTTCAGTAGTGATATTAGTAGGTGGAAATGAAGGCATCACAGGAATCATTTGCGGTGGCTGCTGCATCTTGTGTGAGTTTTTACTTCACTTTACTCCAAAAAGAAACCCTAACTCTAATCACCCTGAGGAATTTTCCCCAAAAAAAACCCTAAATCGAATATCCCTAAATGCTAAAAATATGAAAAGAAATAAAGGGTATGCACTAGTTTTACCTTGCTTGAGCAGGTGACTGGAGGATTTTTTTTTTTTTTTTCTTTAATTTTTGAAGTGGGGTTTTTCAGATAGTGACGATGATTATGGAATTTGAGATATGGGAAGTAAACATTATAATAATAAACTGAAAAATATACATTTAAGAAGAAGAGAGGCTTAGATTTGGTCTGTCCTGTTGTGTTGTGTTATTAAGACAAAACTCACCCGAAAGAGATTTTTTTAGTTGCTAGTTTATTGGTTTTTTGCACGGTTGCCTGTGTCAGTTGGGTTTTGTTAGTTTCTTTGGGCTTTTGCTTTGCTTTGGGTTCGCATCTCTTGACCGACGTTGACGTACTTTTCTTGGAAGTGTTGATTGCTTTAACTTTTAAGAGCTTTTAGATCTGAGGTTTTTTTAATAAGTTAATTAGTAAATGTTCTTATTACAAAAATTACGCACATAAATTTAATCAAGACAATATAAATAAGGGTTAATGCATCATTTATATTACTTTTTATGATTTAATATTTATAAAAATATTCATGATTAAGTATTCTAATTTTATTACTTTATATTTTATTTTATTAAAAATAAATTAATATGTTAAAAATAATAATATAACAACACTGACATATTTATTTATATTTATCAACATTTATCATGTTAACATTTTATTTAATGACGAAATTGTTTGATAAAAACAAGATTTAAAAACTTAATTGTAATTTTTTAATAAATAAATTATTAAAAGAAATATAATTCAAAAGTGAAATTACATATGAAGCCAATGAGTAATGATCATAATTGTGTTGATTATTACCTCTAACTTTAATTGCAAATGAAGCAAATTGAAACCGTTTATGGAGCTTCAAGAATAAGGAAGAAGCATTCAAGTTGGGAAAAGCAGTAGATCTTGATTGTAATTTGAAGAATACAAAATATCTAAATGGAAGGAGGGTGGTCAATTTGTGATGTGATCGCCTATTGTTTTGGATGTCATCCAACACAAGACGGGACAAGACAAATGAATGAATTTTAATTAATGTTTATAAAAAAAAAGTGTATATATAAATATGTATGGATGACATATCTTCTGACATAATTTCACGGCGCAGCGGCGTCAGAAAATCACACACCAAGTGACTACATATGTTGTTTTGAAAGTGGGCACTGCTTATTCCTTCCTCCTCCCTCCCCCCTCCCGCCTCCTGCTGCTGCCGGTGGATATACGTGAGAAGATTCATACTTAATTTATGATATATTATTTATTTTAATTTAAAAATTTATTTTATAAAAAATATTTTATAAATTTAAATTTATATATATTTTTTAATATGAGATTAAAGTGTTCTAATATATTTAATCCTGTATGACATCCATTCATTTTAAACCAATAAAAAATTATGGTTTTTGGGGTGACATTAAGATATATTATATGGCTTGAGAAAAGTTTCGGCGGATTATTCATTTTCTTATGAAGTATTTGTTTGCTTTATTTAAAAGGAAATTATCTTTAATTTTTTAATTACAATAATTTAAAATATATATTTATTAATATAAAATCCGCACTATACATTAAAGTTTATTACATATATATTTTAAATTATTGATTTATAATTAAAATATTTATGTTACATAATTATTAAACCTTTTAAAATTAATGAAAATAGGAAGAGATGTTAAATAAGGGTAATTTTGTAATATGTAATTAAATAAATTCATCTAGTGTAATGAGGGCAATTAACGATTGAATTAGAACATACATTTATTCTTCAACAAAATTTAGATCTACGTAATAAGTATGCTCTTAAATCATTAAAAGAAATTCAGACAAAGCTCGGAATATTTATCAATGAAATTTAATAAAAATGAAACTACTGAAAAATTGAACGTCCATCTGGCTTGTTATTTCGACTCACTCCGAGTCAAGCCATCCGAGTTCGAGGTAACCACCAACCAATTAACAATGCGACGCCCTAATTCCAATTCCCAATCAACCCCCATCCCGCCACGAAAGTTACCGCTCGACGCGGAACACACCTCCACGAAAACAAAGACCAGAAGACCGAAAACCCCATCTCCAAACACCAACCATCCCAACCTTAAACCCTGGCTCCCGACATCTGGAAACGTCTATTTCCGGCGCGAACTCGAAGACCTCTCCCAATAATTCCCCAAATCGGGATAACCCGCCGATTCAATCTCCGGATGGAAATAAATTTATTCAAGCTTTGCTCTGGCCTCAGAGTCCTCGGCTACTTCATGATCCTCCTTGTCGCCGGAATTATCGGCATTTCTTACTACGCCGTCGTTTTCCTCACCTGTGGCCCACAGTTACTCCGCGGTGGATTCCACTCCTTTTTATCCTTCGCCATCGTCATTATATTCCACGTTCTGGTAAATTTGTTAGTTAGTTTTACTGTTTGTTTGGCAACTTAAATTTTATTTCATTATTATTATTTTGTTTGCAGCTTATACTTTTATTATGGAGTTATTTTAGAGTTGTGTTTAAGGACCCTGGTTCTGTACCTGAAAATTGGAGAGCGGTTTCCGCGGAGGAGAATTTGGGGGTTGGTAGTTCTTTGGCAGCGGTGGATGATGGATTTGAGAGAAGATCACGTGGTGGTTATTGCATCCATTGCCAGAATGGGAAGCCGCCGCGGTGCCATCATTGTTCTGTTTGTACGTTCAAATTTAAATCTCTTTCAGTTTGCTTTTCGATTTATTATATCCATTTATCTTAAAGGACAAATTTTGTACCATGGAATTTCAAAAGAATAAGAATGGTAGAAACGACTAAGATTTAAACTTATTTTGAGAACAACTTAGATTGAAAAAGGCTAATACCTAACTGTTAATGAAGAATGGAATTTTTGAAATTAGGGGTAGCTAGGGTTAGGAACATGAAGCAAATATGTATGGACGAGGTTGGATTTGGTCGACATTGGAAAATAATTGCTCATACCTTAATTCAAGGAGAAGAATGAAGATTTTAACATATTGAGGGGAGTGGTGATTATTAGGTCTGTGGCCATCTTTTTCTTGTAGAGTCTCAAAATTATCTTTTACTTTTTACATCTCTGATATTATTTGTGTCTCTGGAACATTGCTGCTGATTTTAGTTGGCATAATTGAGAATGAGTCAAGTGGGTAGTATGAAACATGACTTCCTTTACATTGTGTTTCTGTAGGTCAAAGATGTGTTCTCAAGATGGACCACCATTGTGTCTGGGTGGTGAATTGTGTTGGAGCACGCAACTACAAGTTTTTTCTTCTTTTCTTGGTAACATTCCATTCCCCTTAGTGAATTTGTGGTTATGGAATAAGACTTTAATAATTATCTCAATCTTTTTTTTTTTCTCAGTTTTCGGTTAGCAATGGAGTTGAGGGGTTTAAAAGTTGTCAAGTTATTTTAAATTAGTTTGGAGGTCTTACCACTGCATCTGTCACAATAAAAGTGCTTTGGATTCATTCACCATAACTGGATTTTGACTGAAAGATCTGTTAAACTTGACTTATCAATTTTGTGTTTGAAAAGCATAGCTCATGATTTGCAAGTATGACTGTAATTAAATATAACATTCTCATTTAACTCTTAATAAGCCTAAGGAGGAATGGTTTGAATGGTTATTCAAAGTTTGCTTCCGTAATCTCTTGAAATGTCCAAGAAAGAATTCTGCCAGGCCACGATTTTTGCAACCCTTTTAACTCCAAGTTAACCATTATTTGTCGTTATTATGGTCAAAGATATGCTTAGATCACTAGTGATTTAGTTACGTAATTGCTGCTACTGATATATGAAAATATTCAATGTTAACTCATGGCTTGAACTTTTTCGAATCTTTGACTCAAACTTGCTTATCAATTAATTTATGTTTTGTGTTTTCTGGATGGGTTTGTTTTTGCTTCCTGTCCTCCTTGGGCAGAACTAGGTGCATTTACATATAGTTACTATCACAGTTAAGAATATGCGTGTAAATGTTCATCCATGTCCTCAAAATTTTAACTTCCTCTTTCCTATATTTCCTGACATTTATTTTTCCCAATAAAAGCTGTATACATTTTTAGAGACAACAATGGATACCGTAGTGTTGCTGCCGAGTTTTATCAATTTCTTTGCTGATGCCAAGAATCACTCCTCCACTCCTTCCAATTTAGCATTAGTCTTTTTGGCCTTTGGTAAGTTGTCAACTCAAGTTGATATATCATTTTTCAGCTCAACATATTTGTTTGGCATTCTCATTGTTTTAATGTTTCTTACAGATTCTTTACCTTGATGCAGTTCTCAATTTGGCTTTTGCTCTGAGTCTTCTTTGTTTCCTAGTCATGCATGCATCTCTTTTATCAAGCAACACAACATCAGTAGAGGTATAACATACAACTAATATTCTTACAGCCATTTTCAATTTTGTTAATGTGTCTTTGCTATACTGCTTGGACATTTGGTAGAGTGGTGGATAATGATTTAACGTATTATCTTCCTGCTGTCGAGAATCTATATGAAGCAACCACTGTTGAGTAATGGTATTATCATTTGGATGGGCTGTGTGTTCTTTTTATGGTGAGGGCTTTATGTGATTGTTAATTTATTATATATTACCTTTCTGAAATTTCAGGTCCATGAGAAGAAAGGAACAGTCAGGTGGAAATATGACTTGGGCAGGAAAATGAATTTTGAGCAGGTTGTACTTGCTTTGCATACTCTCTTAGCTTCTTGTTTTATTTATCTATGGACACTAATATGTGGAAAGACGACTAACTTATCTATAACATTGGAGATGTATCTAGGGTTCATAATCTGGTATAATTAAAAACTTAAGTGATTAACATGAAAGTTATATGCTCGGAAAGGCAGATTTGAGGAAGTCTCTTGATGCCCCTTTGTTCCCCATCTGACAAGTCATTTCAATAGTTATTGCTGTATCATGCTATAAAATGATCTCATGTATTTTGATGGAAATGGGTGGCAAAGGGAAAGCATATTCCAACTTTTCTAATGATCAATTTTCCTTGTTTAAGGTGTTTGGCACGAAGAAAAGTTTGTGGTTCTTCCCATTGTTCTCACAAGATGATTTACACAACATACCAGCACTTGGTGGCTTAGATTTTCCAACACGTTCAGATGTTGAAGCTTGAGTTTTTATTGAGATTACGGTCTATCTCAATTCTGGCATTCAAAGTGACTGCCTGTGTATCATATTGCATTCTGGTTCTTTTATGTTTACTTGTTCGGTTTGAAAGGATGCAACTGACGTTATGTTTGATTCGATTTTGTTTTGATGCTGGCTTTAAGGGAACGTAAATAAATGTTTTGGATCATTTTTTTTTTTTAATATTTGAAGCTGTTAAGATTTGAATTTAATCGCTGAAATTAAGAATTTAATGTGGTTGTTGGCTTAGATCATGTTTCTTTGTTAATGAAGGTTGACGGTAAAGACGGTCATCTTGCTGCAAGGTGATAATATGCCGACCAGAAGCGTATTGCCGATCTCTGAAAATTCATTTATCGATGGTATATTTCATTAGAACCAGTTTCCCGACGGTGCTAAAGCTTTTTGAAATGAGATTTTTATAGGTGAAGCATGACAAGAATGAAGCGAATTTCCCTAGTTCCTATGGAATGGAAATAAGATTTTAAACATAAAAAAAATCCCTGCCAACTTTTGTTCCTCAACCCCATGCATGTTTCATGCTTGAAGGCTTTGTTGTCGTTGAACCAACTCGACATTTTGTCAAAAATCAAAAAGCCGGCCGAGTAGCCGACAAATAATGGAAAATAAATATAGATGGCTCGATTGGAGGACCCAATGTCAACTGTTCCAGCCCACAAGAAGCATTCGGCCGTGGGGTTTTCTTTAATTTTAAAAAAAAAAAAAAAGGCTGGCGTGAAGTTGGGCGTGTGGTCTGTAATTCTTTAATTGTTTCGTTCTTTTTCTTTGAAGCTTGGATACTATTTTATTACAATCTTGCTTTCACTAAGAAGGTTTATCGCCTTTTTTTTATCAAAAATAAATAAATAAATAAAGAAGAAAGATTTATCTCCCCGAATTAAAAACTAGGGGTTTCAGCACACATTCTACCTTTATTATTGTTTTGTCATTATTACGACATGTTGATGCCTGTTGGTTTCCAAAGCTAATTAACTTTGATATTAATAATGCACAGAATGATATAGGTAAATGAACGGCAGATACTGACTAGAACTGGGGAAGGCAACATTCTAATCATAGTTTGCCTTTGGTTTCTTCATCATATTCTTGATTCTCATTGATTTCTCCTACACCATTCATTGTTTAATCATAAAAGACCCCTCCATGTTGATACCTATCATTACTTCATGCTTTAGATTTTTAATCTGTGCTCATTTAAAAAAAAGAACTTAGCTGTCTTTGCCTGGAATATATATCATCATTTAATCTATATAGAATATGCTTTAATCAAGCCAATCCAAAGAGCCTTCTCAAAGAAATGCACTCCCAACTAATTAATCTAAACTCTTTAAGTATGCAATCTGATTACCAAGCAACTACCGCTGCCAATGGTACTCAGTTGACTGTATCAAAAGAATTGTTAATAATTCACATGAAGCAATTATAACAAGTAATCTAAAACTGTACAAAGATGAGGCAGAAGGGCGATCTGATATTGCTTGTAATTCTTGTAAAGTTTTATCCAAAAAAAAAGAAAAGAAAAATTTAAAGCTTTATAGAAACAATCAATAGGAAGTTGAAATAACTTGCTTGATCATCTTTTCTGGGTCATGAACTGAGCTATTTGGCGGCCTTACTTCCTCTGAAAAACTGCAGATATCAGAAACGAAAATGGCGAACCAAATGATGAGTGGAGTAGTAAACAGAATAAGACCAAAGGGCACCATCCACAGCTGCCTATTTGTTGGATGATATTTATGTTCCCACCATGCCAACATCAGACCTCCTGTCAAACTCACTAAAAAGGACCATAAGCAAGCCATGTATATGTTCACAATCTTCTTCGGTTCCTTCATCTTGGTCTCAAATATCTCTTCTTTATCAGCACCCCTAGCAACAAACCCACAGACAAAACCTCTCTCTTTTGGCCCTGAATTCCCATAAAACACAACGAATTAGACTTATATAGCCCAGCTAACTACACGAGAACTGAAAAACTTGTTAGTTTAACCTACCAAGGTTAAATCGATGATAGAAGAAGAAGAAGAAGTAGATCCTTTGGATGTTACTAGTTGTTGTTTGGATGTGCTGAAAACCTGCTGAGAAGGTATGGCAGAGGAAGAACAAAGAGCTGGAAAAAGAAGACTAAATAAAGCTAGGAGCGCAAGATTCCCATGACTTCGAACCTGAATTTAGGCTATACCTGTCCAGGTAAGATTAATTGAAGTACCAATCAGGCCTGCCTTTTTATCAAAGTCGTTGTTTGAGGATAGCAAGTAACAGAAAAAAATGTAAAGAAGATAATGATTGCGTTTCAGCTTTTATCACTCCTACTGATGCATGGATGTATCTGGGGTAGATTCAATTTGCGTCTTGTAAATGGACAGGTGCATTGTTTGGTTGCAGAGAAATTTTATTGTATTTAAACAGTTCCAGGGCAACCAAAGGAAACACCTGTAAAATAAACGCGTGATCAATTAATTAAAGTAAAAGCAGCTACATATGGTACAGTCACGTATTGTTGAAACTGATTTTATTTGTTAGATTATATCCATCCAGGCATTGAAAATGAAGTTTCCTTACAGGCTTGACTCTAGGAAACCTTGCTACTTGTAATATATGCCAGATTTTGAGCTAACGTGACAAAATTAATTTCATCGTGGGGACATATCCAATGCATATTTAGTAGTGTAGTATTTTAATTTCAGTGGCAAAGTGGGCGTTCACTTTCTGATAGTTATAAACTAAACAGTTTATATATATAGCGGGGGAAGAAGATCCCTTGAGTGGCTCCGGTTCATCCCAGGGTCTTTGTAGTCTTGCCTCACATCTACTATTCGTTTTTCTTCTAAACTGAAAAGTATTGGGTTGTAATCCGTATATGGGGCTGCAATATCTCACCCACAAAAAAAAAAAAAAAAAAACCTCTTGTTGGTTTGTCGCTGCGTGTTCAAAATTTTGAGACGGGTTGGCTTTCTGCAGGGGAAACGAACATAAGAAAACGTATCCAAAGAAGAGAGAAGGCGGAGGATGATAGTTTCTGCAAGGGAAATGAACATAAGCTCCTAAACGACTCAATCATGACTGGTGGTAAGGCTAGTGTGTTTTGAATATTCTAGCATCCGCTATGGTTATGACAAATGTCCTGAATAGCCCATAAGCCCAAAGCTATAATCTTACCTCTCAGGCCTATTTTACCTTGGAGCGGATTTGGGCTCTTTAAGATAGTCATCTACCTTGGTCGGATTGCAGTTGATGAAGCCTACATTTTCTGAAAATCTAAAAATAAATTTATTTAATTGAATATAAGTTACGAAAATTTTCAAAACTTATGAGAGATTTTAGGAGGAAATTTAAGAACTTTAATTTTTTTCTTAATATTTTGTTTAGAAAGGTGGATTTTCAAAAAATTTTCAAATCTTTTCTCATCAATTATAAAATAAAAACTCCAAAATAAAATATCATTTTATTTAACTTTAATATATTTTATATTATTAATAGTATAATTTTTTAGAATTCTAATAATATCTATATTATTTATTATATATGTTTTTTATTTTTAATATTGCTATTTTCTATTATAATTATTTTTATCTCATGAAATTTTAATAACCTAATTTTGTTAAAAAATATTTATATCAACAAAATAATTATAAATGCACACATTTACAATAAGGCATTTTAAAGTACCTGCATTTCAAAATATTTCAAAATTTTTACTCAAACACTTAAAAATTATTTTTTTCAAAATTTTTACAATCTTTTATTAGTTAAAAGTCACGTTTCATAAAATCTGGTTTGAAATACATTACTAATATTTCATTAATCAGAAATTTGATTTCGATTCTCTCTTTGACCTAATTTTGACAGTAGCACCCATTTTTCTAATAAAGTATGATACAAATTCATTAATTAATGGTGGCCTAAATAATTAATAATAATGAATGACGTTGGATGAGTACAAATCACATGATTAAAACGAAAAAAAATAATAAAAACAATTAGACGGACAACAAAGTAACTTAGGGAGACCAAACATGTGAGCAGATAATGGGTAGGTGCATAACCAAAAAGCTGCCCCACTCGATTCCTTTGTGGACGGAGTTCCATTGTTCCACGTCAATTGAAAGTTACAAGATAAGGCTCTTGTGCTACACGTGCATGCAGAGAGAGAGAGAAAGAGAGAGGCCATTTTAAAACCTTCGAAGAAGCAACCTCCATCCCAAACTCTCCCTTTTCATTCGAATAATTTTAGACTTCATCTTTGTGGTTTAGGTCTTTTGGACGTTCTCAATTATTGATGATCAATTTTGCTAATTTCAGTCACTCTATCATGAATGCCCTTCACCCCATCCTTATTTCTTCTTCAATTACTACGTTACCCTCCACAACTCCAATGCTAAGCTCTGTATCTTATTTATGATAAGCTTTTTCGTGACCAATTGAGTCATAATTTATAGAGTAGACAACAAATGGTATAAATTTAAATTTGTAAAAATTATCTTATTTATTATTATTTGAAGTTATTAAAAATTAAATAATAATTACAAAATAAAAATTTAACATTTTACTAGTAGATTGTTGTTGATTGTATCAAATAGAATTATTAATCATTATATAGTATAAGAATCATGCTATTTGACTTGCTCATCGATTTTGTTCAAAATATTTGAACCTTCTAACATGATATATAATTATTAGATAAATTTAAAAAATCAGATTTACGAATTCATGGATAAATAAATTAATGAAATATTAAAATAAAACAAATAATTATATATTAAATTAAAGAGTACAATACTTAGGGTAAAAAGTAGTGAAAATTATTCCATTAAATGTACCAAGAATATTTCGTTCTATACTAAACACATGAAATTTGGGATATACCGCCATGGACAGATATTCTTTAAGAAAGCTTGGGAGGGGACTCTTGTCTTTGCCTGGTTCTCTCAAACACGCTTTTCGAGAGCAAATGTACAACTTACTCTCTTCTTACTTGAATCTTTATCTTAATAAAAAAAATGAAAAGCTGGATAAGATATGACGTAAGATTTAAAAGGGAGGGATCGGTAAATTCAAGGGGAGCTACGGAAGAAACACTGGATATTTCCCGGTACACACATCTTCTCGTGGACCCCATCCCCCACAACAATGAACGTATGCCACCATTCAAATCCTTCCTATCCTTTCCTTCATCACGCCTCCTATTTCCTTTCTCTTCCTCTCTTTTTGTCCCACTTTTCCCTCTCTTTTCTCTCGCCAATTCTGCGTCACCTGAAATTTCAATTTACTGCCAACAAACAGAAGAAAAATATAATCAAGAAAAGTTGAAATCTGGTAATCTGATCAGACGGTTGAAGGCGGGAGAATGAGCACGAAGAAGAAGAAGACGGCGCAGGTTCAGACGACGAGGACGCGTGTAGGGAAGTACGAACTTGGAAGAACCTTAGGTGAAGGAAGTTTTGCAAAGGTAAAGTTCGCTAAGAATGTTGAGACCGGCGAATGTGTGGCCATTAAAATCCTGGACCGTGACCAAGTTCTTCGTCACCGCATGGTCGAACAGGTAAAAACTTCCCCTTCAGTATCCTCCATGCACATAAACAACATTAAAAGAATTGCATTGAAAGAGATCTCGGCCATCAATGAACGTCGGCCTAACATTTTTGCTTATTACAAAAAGTGGGACCACCGCTGACACCCATGTTTAATGTGGGTCCACTGCTCAAGCGTCGGGATTATCGAATCTGGGTTATGATTATATTTTGTTTCAAAGTCTTTGGTTAATTTGTTTTGACCGTTTAATAAACTATTCAAGCATTAACATTTTTGAGTTTTTTTTTTTTCCTTTAATGATGATTTTGTTGGGGCAGATAAAAAGAGAAATATCAACTATGAAGCTTATCAAGCATCCCAATGTTATTAAGATATTTGAGGTCAAAAAACTAATCCCTGGATTGTATTGTATTGTTTATTCAGTTAAGTATCGCTGATAATAATATATTTAATTGAAAATTCTTTGCTTCGAATGAATTGTGCATAGGTTATGGCAAGCAAGACAAAGATTTATATCGTGATCGAGTTTGTTGATGGAGGCGAGCTTTTCGACAAAATTGTAAGGAACTGTCGTTAATTTACTTGCGGATATTTATAGTTTAATGAACATGTTTTAAAAAAAAAAAACTCTATAACCGCTCATGGAGTTTTTGTTTGGATGTATAATAAAACAATAGTAGGTGGTGTATTGTTTATGGTACTAAAAATCTTTGATATTTGTTGTAGGCCAAGCGCGGAAGACTTAAAGAGGATGAGGCTAGAAGCTATTTCCATCAGCTTATTAATGCTGTTGATTACTGCCATAGTAGAGGCGTCTACCATAGAGATTTGAAGGTTTGAAGTTTCTCTTTATTAACTGATTCATCAGTTGTTTCAAAGTTCTTGACTTTGGAAATTGGAGAAGTTTCTTCAATGTGGGTTCTACATCCTAATTTATATGTAATCATCCATTTTCCTTTTTTGCAGCCTGAGAATCTTCTTCTGGACTCCTATGGTATTCTTAAAATTTCAGATTTTGGATTGAGTGCTTTCTCACAGCAAGTTCGGGTGAGCATGTACTGTCTAGTTATTGACTAAGATGGTTTTATGAATTTTTTTTATTGGCCATGATGGTTTTTGAAATTGAAATCTGGACTTATAATAGTGTTTTATACCGAAAGTTATAAATGTGATTGCATATAACGCACATTCTAAGGATAGCTTGGAAATAGGAAAGGCATGTGGGATGCCAGCCATTATGTAGGGGCATTGCATTCATAATATACAATCAACGATGCTGTATGACAGATAGGTTTACCCTTGACCATTGAATTCAGAATATAATTCTTCAGCTAAATGGGTCATCATTTTTACAAATACACTGTCTAATCCTTTATTTTTAAGCAAAGTTTTGATTTAATGGAAAATATCCATGTCAAAAGAGGGAGGGAAAGACTAGACATGATTGAAAATATATAGTGACACAATATCCATGTAGTTAACCATATATGCTGGGAAAATGCTTGAAACAGTTGGTCGAGGCTTTTAGCTGGCAATTGAGATTCTATAAATGCTAACTATCAAGAATGGCAGAAAAGAAAAAGGAAAAACTCCACGTTTAGTAGTGTAATCTTTCTTTTTCTTTAATATGGATGCAAACCTTTTTAACATTCTTCTAAGTGTAGGAGGATGGGTTACTTCACACGGCCTGTGGGACTCCAAATTATGTTGCTCCAGAGGTATTCACTCATGACTTTATTGAGATAGTGAGCTGTAATGCAGCAACTTTTTCGTCACTCTGGTATCTGACATCTTTCTTATCAGGTGCTCAAAGATCAAGGTTATGATGGTACAGCATCTGATATTTGGTCTTGCGGAGTTATACTCTTTGTACTTATGGCTGGTTATTTGCCTTTCGATGAGCCAAACCTTATAGCCTTGTATAAAAAAGTGAGTTGTCCCATATTTGACTTCTCTTTTTAGATGAGAACTTCATTAAAACTGTTGGTTCATGTTGATATAATTCAGATCTGGAAGGCTGATTTCGCTTGTCCTTCATGGTTTTCATCTGGTGCAAGGAAATTGATAAAGCGCATTCTTGATCCAAACCCTCTTACTGTAAGTTCCTAAATCCTTTCATGCTTTGAAACTTATTGATCACTTTCTATCTTCAGCCTTGGCATTGGTTATATTCTTAAATGGTAATAGGCATACGGAGCAATTAACTTCATCTTTTTTCTCTCTTTCTTATAATAAAGTGTGCATTTCCATTGAAACTCTGCATGTTATTTGTTGCAGCGTATAACTATTCCAGAAATTTTACAAGATGAATGGTTCAAGAAAGGGTACAAGCCACCACAATTTGAGCAGGAAGAGGATGTAAATCTTGATGACATAGATGCTGTTTTTAATGACTCAATGGTAACACATTTTGTATTGCTGTCTTTTTGTTTCTCTGGCAAAAGAGGTCTATTATAAGCATACCTCTTACAACCACTTTACAATGTGAGATGATAGACTGTTTTTTGTTGTCCAAAATTTTTGGCCATTGACCCTCTGTCATAACGTTTAGATTAAGAGAAACTACCATTAGACGCAAAAAAATCATGGAGTCGTCATCATTTTTTTTTTACCTAGGTGTGATTAGCTACTTATGTGAATCTATCATCTTTAAGGTTATCTTAAACCTAAGCTAAGGTCCCTAAAACGAATAGGTTTGGGCCTATATCATTAGAATATCATTAAGGTTCAAGAGTTGATTACGCACAGGAAAGTTATTAACATCCCTTTATGCCCAAAATCGATACCAAATTAATTACGTATTATCTTACCTAAATCTTATCAAAGATAATTGCTTCTTCCTTATTGATTCAAAATTTTGTTCAAATTTTCTCTCTTTTCAACGACCTCTGATTTTGAAGTTAATTGTTGTGAGGTCTCTCCTTTTGATCTTAGATTCAAGATCCTTATATAGTGATTGAATCTCTTTCGATTTGGAAGAAATTAATTCAACCAAATCTAGGATTTCTCTCCAAATTTTATTCTCTATATAATCTTTCCTTTTTCAATAGATTAAGTCTCAAGTTTTTTCAAAATTATTCAACGATTAAAGTTAAAATTTGATATAGAATTCAAGAGTTGAATTAAATCCAATATTTTTCATGCAAAATTTTACATTTTATTTTAATTATTTTTACCTTTTATTTTTAATTTTTTGCCAATTGACTTTGACTCTTTTGACTAAAAAAATAAAAATTAAACAAAAAATTAATCTAAAATATTAAAATACAAATAAAATTTAGGACTTAATTTTTGAGTCCAAAATTCACTTATTGTATAATCAAAATTAAAATTTGAAACCTAATGAATTTCAAAAAATCCCCAGACAAAATGGAGTGTTAAACGAGTGCATTTGGTTTGTGTCTATTGCTTTGCAGACTATCTACTCAAAATGAAAGAATAAAATAAGAACGAAGCTCATCTGACACTACTCATCGTTTGTTTATTTTGCAGGAACACCTTGTAACAGAAAGGAAAGAGAAACCCGTGTCCATGAATGCTTTTGAGCTTATCTCTAGGTCGCAAAGCTTTAGTCTTGACAATTTGTTTGAGAAGCAGACGGTATGTAATTAAGAACCCTTTAGCTTTCCCTATATTAAATGTTGTGTTAATTGAACAATTGAACAATTCCTTGTATTAAATGTTTTTAACATGGATCTCCACTTTCCAAGTTATAATTATGAAAGAAATTCTTTCTTAGCTGAGTCTTTTCTTTTTTTTCTTTGGTGGTGTGAATTGAAACTATAGGGTCTTGCGAAGCGGGAAACCAGTTTTGCTTCCCAATGTCCTCCTAATGAAATTATCTCCAAAATCGAGGAAGCCGCAAAGCCTTTGGGCTTTAATGTTCACAAGCAAAACTACAAGGTTTGGTTTATCTTCATCTATGTTGCACAAGCTGATGTGTTTGCTCTGATTTTCGATGATATGATATGGATTTTTGCTTAAGCAAAACTGCTAGTTCATATGTTTGTAAATTCTGTTTCAACTCTCATGTATTTGTTATATTCACATTGTCATAGATGAAGTTGAAAGGTGACAAAAGTGGGAGAAAGGGCCAACTTTCTGTAGCTACTGAGGTACTTAATCCTAACCATTCAAGCACCTTTTTAATTTCTTTAAAATACAATGCTGTTGATTGAATGAAGGCACATTAGTTACATATTTCTTATTTAGAGTCTGCATCATTTTGAATAATGTAATCGTATGACTGGCAATGCTGGATTATGATTTTACTCAAATATGTTAAGTCTCAAGCCGGTCTTGCACCAGGTTTGACCTAAGTAACATTTCTGAACTTCTCTTGAAAGGATTTAAGATCTAAGCTCCAGAACTGATTCCCCTCGAATGTATGCTGTTGTATTAAATTATTAGCACATGGTTTTTAATCTTAAATAATACTCCCTCTGCCCAAAAGCTAACCAATTGAAGGGCTTAAAATCAATAGAAATTTTCTAGATGTAGCCAAGCAATGCAAAAGGTTTTCCAATTCTCAGCATCCATTCTTAGATTATACCATCAGTGAAACATGGAAAACTCATTGCTCTTCAAACTCAGGTGTTTGAGGTGGCTCCCTCCTTACATATGGTGGAGCTTCGGAAAACCGGTGGAGACACGTTGGAGTTTCACAAGGTATACATGTATAGTAGTTGCATTTAATTCTAGCTCTGTTCGTGAGAAAATATTTTGAATCCCATTATTTAGTAAGCCATATTATCTGGGATCTTTCTTGTCTGAGCCAAATATCGATTTGAATGTCTTTTTGTGTTTAATAAGATGTCCAATTGTGTCTTTTCCTTCCCCTATTTTATTGCAATATAGATGATTGAATGATTTTCTTTCTTATCTGATATCTTTATTGTGAAGATTTTGCAAGTTAAATTTCGTACATTAATTCTTCTTTTAATGACAGTTCTACAAAAATTTTGCATCGGGATTGAAAGATATAGTCTGGAAATCTGAAGAAATTGCTGAGTAAAGGTGATCTCTGTCCCCTCCTCCCCCCACTTCATGTTACTGTTGTGACGAGCATTTGGGTTGAACTGCTGGTTTATTTCTTAGAGTTGATCGTGTATATTGTTGGTTCTCCTTTGGGGAAGATATGTGAATTAGATACCTCAAAACGTGAGGCAATGGTTCATTGTCCTTTTCCTTACATAAAGGGGGTTCATTTTTATTTCTTTAGGAAGTAACCAAATCCATTGAAATTTTGCAAATAGGTTGCTGTTCATTTGATGGAAAAATGCTCTATCAAATGCTGTATTTGGAGAACATGTTCGTTTTATTAAACTATTATGGTTTAAAATGAAACATCTGATATAAATTTTAATAATCATAAAGTAATCACTAACTATCCTCAAATTTGTAACTTGTATTATATCTCAATTGTCACATAGTTAAATAAGCTCCACTCTCGTTAAACAAAAGAAAGAAAATTTTTATAATTAAATTATTAATCAAGCGTAACAAAATTCTTACACTTTTACATATGTGATTATCTTTGTAACACTTCACTCTAACTATACTTTTAAAAATTGAAAGGTGTGAACTTAGCAGGTTAATTTCATATGGTTCAGAAATAATGGATAATATAATAGTAAATGATTGATAAATATGATGGGAAAAAATGGGTAACATAGTATAATGATAAAATGATGAAAAGTGAGTAAGTATAATGATAATTTTGTGGTCTTGTAAACAAAAATTATAATTTAAAAAAGAAAAAAAAAACTAATAGATTTCCCAGTCTCCAATTAAGTTCCTTTTATTGGTTTAGCCTAAAATTAACTAGGTAAACTGAATCATTTATTAAAGTTAAAAAAATTTTAAATAGTTTGATTATTTGATATAAAAATTACTGATTTACAATATACCTTACATTCAGAGCCCAAAATGTCTAAAAGGGCATTTCAGGTTTCATAAGTTAATAGTCCAATGGTCCATTATTATTCATCATGAAAAAACTCGTTTATATGTTTATATTCTGTCCATCAGTTTGTTACTTTCTAGGACATAAACATAATTGAGCTTTGGGAACTGCTGCCATTTGATTACTTGTATTTCCAAGTTATAATTTCTTCTGAGATGTGCTAAATGGTCGGAGTTTAAAAATCGTGGAGACAAAAATAATGTACAAAACTTAAAAAGCAAAGACTTTAGGTCTCGCATTTGGAGTATATCTAGATTGATACTTTGTCTTGGGTCTCTTCAGTATTTTTCTTTGCTGAACCCACCGTTTCTTGTAAATGGAAATTGTTGTGAAGGCTTGGCCATCATCCACCACCACCTCCGCAGCTAAGCTTTGCTTGATACAAAGCGCTTTGTAATGCCTTTACTAGGAGGATTATTGAAGGGTTGCTACCAGGTCGGGTGAAACATGAGATGAATAAAGCTGGTAATTTCCATATGGTGGTCTTGGCAGCACAAAAGCAAGTGATAGGGAAAATGTCCCGCTTGAGACGAACAACTTTTTAATAAAAAATGGTTTTTTGTTGTCATACAAAGCGTTCGGTCTTGATCAAATATGTGTGGTCCAAGAATATGCCACGTCCTATATCCTATGAATTATGATTAGATGGAAGATCTAAAATTCAGTTGGAAGGATAGCCAGTGACAAGATTTGATGTAGCATTTTGGCAACTAATTGTTTTACAATCAGATTGGGAATTTACTGATTAGAATATAATTCAGAAAAAGGTGGTTGAACCCCCTCGATATCCAATCATTCATTGATTGAATTAGTTCATCGTTAGGGGTTTGATGGATTTAATTACGGATGGGCCTGTGTGTAGCCCGGAAAATGACTATTTCCTGACAACCCGTCGTCCTCGCAGACTGCTAGCTGCCACGCAAACTTTGTACTTTTTCACTTTTTGAGTTCAATCTAGGACAGAGAACCTTATTACTCATTCGACGACGTGAATTAAAACAGGTGTTACTCATTGCATTCAACCTTCTTCCTAATCAACATACTAATAATTTATAATTCTATAAATCTAAATTTTTTCTTCAAGAATTCTAAATATCAAGCATTAATCGTTACAAATGTTCCTTTGATTTCCTTCGGTTCAGGTTTTATGCAATCAAAATTAGATTATCAAACGAAATGGATTCGAGTAATGGAATTTTATATAAACATGCATCGAAATTTTTTTTGGACGTTTGTAAATGAATAAAAAAAGATTAAATTAGAAACAATTAATAATAATAATAATAATAATAATAATAATAATTAAGAAGATATGGAGGATCGAAAATAGATGTCAAGTGTAATATCGAAAACTAAAGTCGTGTACTTGGGATTTGTCATCATGAATAGAAGTAATATCTTAATTTTGAAGTCATGAACTGATTATTGAATATTGGATGGCGAAATAACAACAACGTTTTTATGGTCGTAAAATTTGACGTTCGACTACTACGTTGCTTGAAGACTACATGCACCTTGAAATCTATAATTTATAATGTTATATTAAATTTGAGTTTTTATATCATTTTTCATTGAGGTTTCAATTGAAAGTTCAGTTGGCTGTCATGTTTTGCTATCAAAAGCCTTTTTTTTTTTTTAAAGAACGCAATAGTAACAACATAACATCATCAAAGTCTCTGTTGAGACCCATTGATTTTTTTTTTTGGGGGGGGGGGGGGGCGCCAAAGTAAGACCTAACGATTAATTATATCAATTGTTATAAAACAATAATTTCCAATATTCAAAAGCAAATCGTAATTGAATCCAAAAGCTTGAATTTTGATTATTGACAATGAAATGTCTATAAGTTTAATTGTGCGACGATTCATGTTTAAATACTTATAAAAATATCAATAATTATATGATATATTGATAGATTTTTGAAATTTTCATTTTAATTATTTAAATTCAATGTTGTGGAGGCATTGAAAAATAGTAATAATTAGGATAATATTATTTGTTCTATTACTTTTGTCCTGTTATTGATTTGATTGTAATGAAGTAATTGATTTATTCATACTTGTACACCTAGTATTGGAATTTATCCAATAAATATATGATATGTTAAAAATACAAAAAAAATTAAATAAAATTAATAGAACAAGTAACATCACTCGTAATAATAAATATTTACTATCTACAAAGATTATAATGATATTTAAAAATTTCGACAAAACATCAATTACTACAGTCATGATCTCGACGAAAATGTACTGAAAGGAAATCTGCAGTAGGATTTCTCTGAGATTGAAAACAGATAGAAATACAGAGTGGGAGCTCTTGGGCAAGGAATGCGTGCCTAAATGCAATTTTTTTCTTTTCAGTACTTTGGCAGCTGTAGTGTTATTTTTTTGGGTAACCGAAGGATTTTTTATAATATAAAATTGTGATTTGTGAAGAAGACTGAAGTTGGGAACCAAAAATCGTCTGTTTCTATGCTGGGAATTTGGAGGGGTTAGCGGCAACCTTTTTTGACCCCTCTATTTGTTGTTGTCTCATTGCCAGTCACCTATAATCCACCGGCCAATTCCCTCATTTCTCCCTTACTACCCTTCTCTCTCTTTTGACTTTTAGGCATTTCCTCCCTTTCTTTGAAGGCCACGTGATGTTCATAAAAAAACCATTGATGATTTCTTGGCAATAACCAAAACGTCATGCAATGGTAAATGGAAAGACCTTAATAAAGATTCTTTGAGCTTTCTTGAAAGAAACCTCGCAATCTCACATGGTGGCACAGGCAATTTCCCCCACAATCCCATTGACAAAATATACCAACATCTCTTCTTCCTCCAACCTGAATTTTGCACTTTTTGACTCAAAGAGATATAGGGCTTTAGTCCTTTATTTTTTTTTTATTTGATTTCTCAATACTAATCCCATACTATACTCCTACGGTGGTTGAGCTATCTATCCTTTCTCGGAACTACCCGTCATTAATTCAACATACTCCTTCCAGCTTTCTTTCCTTTTTTTTCTTGGGTTGTTGTTATATTAACTCTTGTGGTCTAGCTTCCCCGTCCCTTGCGTTTCAGAGCTAATTTTCTCTTGCTTTCTCTCACTCCTTTTTGTTTTTATATAAGCAAATTTCTGTTTGGGTGATTTTAGTTCAGCTCCTCATAGACAACACAACAAACCCATATTTTTTAAGAGCCCCCAAAAATAGTGTTAGAGAGACAATATGGATAGGGATAGCATAGAGATGGATAACGAGCGGCTGACGGCGGAAATGGCATTCAAAGACTCCTCCTCCGCCGTCATCAAAATTCGGCAAAGATTGCCTGATTTCCTGCAATCTGTAAAGCTTAAGTATGTAAAGTTAGGCTATGGTTATTCATGTAACCCCGCCACCATACTTATGTTTGCTCTAATCCTACCACTTTTCGTTGCCACTTTGGTTCAGTTAACTGGTCTGAAATTGGACCGGATTTCTGAGTTATGGACCAACCAAGCCCTTCGACTTGAGAGCATTGATGCTGTTACAAGACTAACTGGTTCACTAATCCTATTCTTCCTCTTTGGTCTCTACTATGCGAAGCGGTCCAGGCCAGTTTACCTCGTCGACTTCGCATGTTACAAACCTGAAGATGATCGTAAAATGTCAGTTGACTCCTTCCTGAAGATGACTGAAGATAGCGGAGCTTTCACGGAGGACACGCTTCAATTTCAAAGAAGGATATCAACCAGGTCTGGGCTAGGCGATGAGACGTATTTCCCAAGAGGGATAACATCTAGACCACCAAATCTGTGCGTGGAAGAGGCTCGATCTGAAGCTGAAGCTGTCATGTTCGGAGCACTCGGCTCACTTTTTGAGAAAACCGGAGTCAAACCAAAGGATATTGGCATCCTTATCGTAAATTGTAGCTTATTTAATCCAACCCCATCTCTCTCAGCTATGATAGTCAACCATTACAAGCTTCGTACGGATATCAAGAGCTACAATCTTGGAGGAATGGGCTGCAGCGCAGGCCTTATATCAATTGAGCTTGCTAAAAACCTCCTTCAAGCCAATCCTAACACGTATGCCATAGTGGTAAGCACTGAAAACATTACTCTGAATTGGTATTTCGGCAATGACAGGTCCATGTTGCTATGCAATTGCATATTCCGCATGGGTGGAGCCGCTGTGCTCTTATCAAACAAGTCACGAGAAAAGGCTCGTTCCAAGTATCAGCTGGTTCACTTGGTTCGAACCCATAAAGGCGCGGATGATAAACATTACAACTGCGTTTACCAAAGAGAGGATGACAAAGGAATTATTGGGGTTTCATTGGCTCGTGAATTAATGGCTGTAGCTGGAGACGCATTGAAAACCAATATCACCACTCTGGGTCCCCTTGTTTTACCATTCACAGAACAGTTCATGTTCTTTGCCACCCTTGTTCGAAAGAAGATTTTCAAAGCCAAAGTTAAGCCTTATATACCTGATTTCAAGCTTGCTTTCGAGCATTTCTGTATCCATGCTGGTGGAAGGGCGGTTTTGGATGAATTACAGAAAAATTTGCAACTAACAGATTGGCATATGGAGCCTTCAAGGATGACTCTACATAGATTTGGAAACACTTCAAGTAGTTCACTGTGGTATGAACTGGCTTATACGGAGGCTAAGGGTCGGGTCTCGGGCGGTGACCGGGTGTGGCAGATTGCATTTGGATCGGGTTTCAAGTGCAATAGTGCTATTTGGAGAGCGCTTAGGTCGACTCCCATGAGTGAGTCAAGGGGTAACCCTTGGAAGGATGAAATGGACAAGTACCCGTTGAAGGTTCCCCATGCTTAATATTCTCCAGTGTTGTCAATTAATTGGCTGTGAAGCATATGAACGTGACCTGGCTGTGGGATGTGGGGTTCCTTCTATTTTATTCTTGTGCTCTTCTAATCTCTGTGTCCTCTTTTGTAATTTCGTATTGTACCAGAATCATGATTTACTCGGTAATTTAATCAGTATACGTTGAAAAGAAAAACAGAAAAAAAAAAAAAAAAAAGAAAATTAACCTCGCACCCGATTTGAACGAGTCAATTTACTCTCATTTGTATATTTCCATTACCCCCACCAAAAAAAAAAAGACACAATTAGAATAATATTCATAAAGGGGCCGTTATTATCTCGCATTTACAATATATATTGCTGTAAACTTATAATATAGTAACCATTTTTATAGTAATTTGTTTTATAATCATTTGATGAAAAAGATGACTATTCTAGAACAGCCTAACATAGGACACATGAAAAATTTAATTTATTTAGACAAATTTGATACTTGCATAATTTATTTAGAATGATAAGTGGCAGCAAAGCAGGTACACACATAATATTACTATCGTTATAAAAAAAAATCATAGATTTTGTGTGGTAATCATTTGCCACTTGCCATACAATACCGTTGGTTTTGATAAAGACCTTTGATTCAAATTGGTTGGAAGTTCAGGAATTCTCTATTAATGCGACATGGGATGATTAACCGAGCTAATTTCCGTAGCTACAGCAACTTGTGTAAGCCACCGTCACGAATATTATTTAGATTTAATAATTCATATATTTATATTAATATAAAAATTATAAAAATATATTTTTTATTTTTATTAAATTTATATATATATATATTTTAGTAAAATTTTAAATTATATATTTTTTATCATATTATAAATATTATATCAGAAAAAATATATAACATGTGAGAAAACTGGTAAATGTCCCAATTTGAAGTTTGCAATGGTCTCCTAAATGGTTAGGTTCTTAATTTGATTTATAAAACTTAAAAGAGACGACAGAGTTTACTGTCTGGGAAAGGGAGAGAGAGAGAGAGAGAGAGGAAAATTGGGGCTTCTTAGCTGTCTTCCAGTTGGACCTTGCTTCATGGAGGCGAAAGAGAGTTGGATAGGTACGGTACTGTTATATTTAGAAATTCATTCTGATATTTGTGGTCAGATTCTGAAATTTTTTGAAGGTAGAATAGAAACTTTCTAGAATTGATGAAATGCTTTACATATTCAACTTTTGGGTTCACCATCAAACTTTCCAACAAGGATTATTTTCATCTTTTTTTTTAGGTATTGCTATTACGAATCCTAATCTTTCCTTCATACAAATCAATTTGATAAAATTTCGTATATATTTATTACTCTTTTCCATTTCTCTTCGTTAAACCTTCAATTTATATTTAACAAAAAAAAAAAAAAGAAAAGAACAAAAAGTTGTTTCCTTTAATCAGTGACTATCTTAATTATAATAAGATAAGATGGTGAATCAGAGTGAGTCCTGAGATCACTTTTTTATTCATAATGTCATGTGAAAAATATTCTTCTTTAATTGATGAATGAACTTCAAACTCGTACGTTTTCAAAAATTTCACCCTTTAAGTAATCCTTTCTTTGTAAGTTAAGGAAAACAAAAAAACCTAACAATTCCTCCACAGAGCAATCGTTTAAAAAAAAAAAGACTAATAAATTCTACTTCATCTAGTATTTGTGTACTTTGTTTTTATGGTTATCATAATCCTTTCCTTATTATCATTTGATTTTGTGTTAATAATCTGTTTGTCATTTACTAGCTTGACATGTATGAATTGCCCAATTCGTGGATTAGCTACGCTGGATAACACTAAAAATCTTTTCTTTTTAGTTGGAATTAAGGATAAAATCAAATTCCTATTAATGGCGTCTCTCACTTATTAACACAGTTTTGTTTACGTAATAATAAAAACTTACTAAAATAAAGGAAAACAGAATTTCATTAAAAATTGCAGGTCCATTCCCGCGCCTCAGCTTACGGATGAAAAATGCCCAATTAGTATGTAACATAAACAAAGAGGACCGACCCCAAAAATAATTAGAAAGGGTAAAACAAGTATGTGGTGGGCTACGTCTCTCACTCCTGTCGGACCATACTTTCCGGTTCCCATGCCCATACCCAAACCCACCAAACACCAACCTCACAACGTCTCAGCCAATTTCCGTTTATCTAGTCAGCCAGCCGCCTCGAACAGAGGCAACAACTTCAAGCAAGAAGAGGGGAAAGAGATAAGTGGGTCAGACGTGCTTTGGGCTTTGCAGAGAGCAGCCGCCCAGAAGAAGAAAGCCAAGAGAAGGAAAAAGGGATCAGCACCATCTAAAGGTAGTCATAGAGAAAAGGATGGCACTGATTACGGTAATGTTAGGCCCTTGCAAATAAAGAACGAGTGGAGTCTTAAGTTGGATGAGCTGGAAAAGCGTCTTCAGGAGCTGGAAGAGACCACTTGAATTCACTTTCTTTTTCTTTTTTTTCTTCTTGATCTTTAATTTATCTGCAAGCTGTTATTACAGTTTAAACATTCAAGTCTATTCCTAAAATCTTGGCCCTGAAACTTGATATTTAATTTGCAAAATTGCATAATTTTCTTGTTTCGCCTTTTTCTTTGATAGCTGTACTTGACCCACTTCGATGGTTTAATGGTTCGATCTTGGTTCTTGTTTGGCCACTGAACATGATTTGGATTCTTCTATGTTTCTTCCTGTAATCAATTAACTGTCTTCGCGTAGTTCGATTCGATTGGAGGAAAATAAATCCAAAATAGATGGCATCCTTTCCATGCAATGATAATTCAGTTCATGCTGTTTGCTTATTGCGGCACCTCATTATTGTCCATTCAGATCTTTCTGGAGTCAATTTCTTTTATCTAACAAGGCTAGATCGTGAAGTTGGTTCAGTTCCCGTTTGAAGTACTTAATGAACTTTGCAATCTGTCATGTTCATGGAAAAATTTCCCTTAGCCGTAAACAACAAAGGTACCTCTTAGGATTTTTCTCAGGTAATATAAAGCCGCTGAACTGCTGGACAAAAATTGAAACAGAAAAACAACATTTTCATCTGATTCACACTTCTAGACAATAATTTTTATCCATGTATACTCGCTACTGAAATTACTTTTAAGTCTTGAACTCTTTCCTTTAAGATCTGAAAAGACAAGACAAGCTAGCAAAAAAAGGTAATGCAGAAGAAAAAGATTAACAAAGATGAAGACTGCACCAAAAAAAAAAAAATTTGTTGAGATTTACCCAAAACCAATTCGGCCATCCATTAAACCAAGAAAACTACAAGGAATAGACTTTTAACTTGGATTGTGGACTAGAGCCTGAACAGCCCTTGGGACAATATGTGCCAATAAAACAATACCACGAAGTACAATTAAACTTGTCAAACAATAATTCAAAAGCCTCTCCTAAAAACATTCAAGTTTTACATGATGCTCCAGTTTCCCGATTCCAACATTGTTTTCACTCTTTCTATTTTGTTTTTCTCCTTGATTTTTGGTGATGGACTTGGGAGGAGAGAGTGAAAGAGAGAGACCGAGGGTGGTTAAGGAGTTTGTTATTCGTCCACATAATCAGTCATCCAACTATAATGTCTCCTGTTTCCGAAAAGCTACAACATATGTCTCTACACTTTTACAAACTAATAGGGTCGATACCTTCTGCTGCGGTTGCCATCATCACTACCACTACTTCCACCTCGGCCTGCTGGCCCACCTGGACCAGTGCTCCGATCAACTCTTCGAGGGCGAGGGGTTGGCATCTGCACTCCAGGCTGCTGACTGCCCAAATTCCAGAAGAGTAGAAGCAATTTCTATAAATGTGTTGTCATTCAAGTAAACAATTATAATTTTAACAACAGGTAACTTACAGGACATATCCTATTCGGCCATCTGGTAGAACCATGGGTACCATAGCCATCCCTGCTGGCATTGGCCCTCTTCCATATATTACTGGCTGTTCATGTGCATAATTACGCATTACTTTTACCAATAAAGGGCATGCATCTAAGAAGAAAATTACAAATCAACCAAAGTACCTGCTGAAAACTAGTAGCAACACCAAAACCAGAACTTACAGAACCAAATGAAGCTCCAGTAAAACCACCATAACCAGGATGAGGAAGAAGGTTTGGGTGGAGCCCAGCACTGTAAGGATATGCTGCATCGGTTTTCTTATCAGTCTGAGGTTTGGCAAGGACAACCTCCAAGACTTGGCCTACAGTCAAAGACAGTCGAAACATTTTTAGAAAAAAGGCAACCCTTGTAGCTGATAAAACAAACTTCAAAAGCCAAATCTCATAGAAAACCAAACTAAGGGATCCTTTGTATGCCAAAATTAATAATGTTGATATAAGAAACCAACTCTAAACAAATCCTGATATCAATGGAAGGTAGTTTTTCCAGAAATATTTCATAAGGCAAACTATTTCCAAGTACATTCCTCTGATGTTATTAGATAATTTAATTTCTTTATCTTAATTAGAATCCTCAATTTTCCAAAATGATGGCTATCTCAGCACTCTCAAAATCAGTTCACCCAGAGTTGATTACATGCAGTAAAGAGAGTATATCAGAAAGTGCATTGCACCCTTTTTTTCCTTCAATATTTTGAATACAGCCTGAATGATTTAAGCACCAGCCAAACCAATCAAACTTATAATTTTGTCTTCAAAAAGAGTATGAGGTAATGCACGAGAAAATTACCATCTATTTCATATTTCTCAGTATCTTTGACAGCCTTTAAAGCACTTGACCTTTCAGCATAATGTATAAACCCAAAATCCCGCTTCCCAGCCTTGCCAGGTGGCATAACCACTTTTGTTACTTCCCCATGGCGCTGAAATACTTCCTTCAGTTTCTCAGTAGAAGTGTTATCAGGAATGTTTTTCACATACAGAGCCTTCACCTGGTAATTCCAAAACATGTAATATAGTCAGACCAAGCAGTTACAACATGAAAATCAGATCTTTGCTTTAGTCGTGTACTTATAAGAGGTTATGTACATCCAATTATCATCATTCGGCAATTAAATACAAACAAGCAGCTCACAAAGCTTCCCCCCCTCCCCCCCCCCCCCCCCCCACCTGCCTAAAGAGGAGGGGGTGGAGGTAGAGAGGGATGGAGAAGAAACCCAATGATGGTTCCTCAAGATGGCAATTCAAAATATATCTCATGTTTTATGTTGTTATAATTCCATTAGAATCTACCTGTGAAGCAGCAGAATGATCAGGTGTACTCTTTGGATCAGCCCAGGTGACGGTAGGGGTATTGCCATCCAGCTTAAAATTTGCACTTGACATTTTCTGCCTAGAATAATCAGCACAGGCATTGTTGTAGTACAAGATAAAAGCAAAACCACGATTACGGCTCGTAATCTGAGGATCCTGTAATTCACAAATTGAAAAGGTAAATGGATTTTCCGATATTCACACTTATTAAATATAAAAGTATCATCTAGTTCGAAATTCAACCTTTATGAGTTCAATATTTTCAACTCCAGGACCAACACCATCAATGACTTTTCTGAACTCATCCTCAGTCCAGCTCTTTGGAACATTACCAATAAATAATCTGTTCTTAGTTTCAGAGAGTGAACACCTTATTGATTTACCCTGCAGAAATTATTATGAATATTAAAATGAAATACCTAACTACATTGTTAAAAAGAAAACAATGGAGGTGAATATGTTGCATCAGCAAGCCATCTAAAGCAAATGCAAGAGGCATCAAAATTACCCTGAACTCTTTACTATGCAACTCTTCAATTGCCTTTTGTGCAACCTCTTTCGATTTGAATGCCACAAAAGCATAACCCTTGCTTTCACCAGATTCCTTATCTTTCATTAATCGTATCTGCAAAATAATTTACTGTTAACTGTGAAAATCCTAAATTACCAAAAAAAAAAAAAAAAAAGAGTTTGTAGATCACAGGCACAAAGTTGCAACCTCAAAAATTTCTCCTATTGGTTCACAAAGTTCTCTCAAGCCTTCTTCTGAGGCATCCTTTGGAAGCCCCCCAATGAAAACCTCAGAACCATGGGGAGGCAAGGCAAGAAGTTGAGCATGCTTTGCTTTTTCTTCTTCACTAACAGAAACCATGGGCTTTTCTTCATCTTCCACATGCTCCGCTTCACCGTGGCTTCTTTCTACTTCCGATGATTGATCTTTTCCATCCACCCCAGATTTTGAGTCCTCATACTCCTCTTCATCATTTTCTTCCCCATTTCCATCACCAACATTATCCACTCCGTCCTCATCTAGATGTTCTTCGACATCATCATCCTCTTCCTCCATGTAATTGTCGTCAAGATCCACCCTCTCATCAACTTCTGCATTCTCCGCCATGAATGGTTCGTGGCCCAATTCAGCTCATCAAATAACTGCATAAGAAACCACATTATATGTATATACTTTTACAAAAACAAGTTCCGGTGAGTTACAGTTACAAATGAATATTGATAACATCTAAAATATTTCAGTCTACAAAGTTAAAAGCAAAAAAAAAAAAAAAAAAAAACAGATGATCGAATAAAGAGCTGAAAAAATAGCCCAAAAGAAGGAAGAAAAAAAAGTGAAAATTATTATCTTTGATTTCTCAGCAACCGAACAGAGCTTTACTGACATTAAAATAAAACTGAAGCGTTAAAAGGAACAAATTACCCTCAAAGAATTCCAACGTCAAAGCGAACATCAAATTCTAAAATTTAAAATAAAAGAAACGAACTATTAAATAAAGTAGCAACCCAGGTATCAATCTGCCTCAAAATTGAAACAAGGGCTAGAAAATGGGTCAACAGAAAAGGGAATACCCAATTCACATAAACCCTAATAACCCAGAAAGAAATTAAAGAAAGTTGAAAACTTTTCAATGCCAAAAACGTAAAATCCAATTTAGGCGAAAGAATACGACTTTACATATTCATTTAAATCCCCATGCAAAATATAACAAAATTGTAACACTAAACAATATGCAAACAAATGTAAACTACAAAATAGATGTAAATGTGACAAAATCTAATCAAAATGAGGTAAAAATAATAAGATTTTGGGATAGTTTAGAACAAAAGAAGTACAAAAAAAAAAAAATTAGCAAAAGAAAATAAAATAAAAGAGAGTGAAATTTGGGCTTACCAATTGATAATTTATTGGCTTTGTCACTTTAGATTTGATGGGTTTTTGTCTATCTGGGAGTGGGGTTTGACAAATATAATTAGGTTGAAATTTTGGCTGTTTTTTTTTTTTTCTCCAATGAGTATTCTTACGAGAATTTATAATCGGACTACCTAACGAGTGTGATTCTTCGTTCCAGAACCACAACGAATTGGAATAGTCTGCGGTTCGAGTTTTGCTGCCACTGCGGGATTGACCTATCAAGCTTAGCCACGTATTTGACATGTTGGTATTTGTTCATTTATCCATTGAAATTTCTAAAGACTTGTTGGGCTGGGCCAGTTGATCTACTGTTCCAAACATTTTAAAAAAATTATTCTCAAAAGTTGAATGATTTCTCCGTACTTATATTATTAAAAATGTATATTTAAAGGATTTTATGATTTAAATCCGTTTATTTATGAATTTATATTTAATAAGTGATATTTAATAAATTTAAATTTTAATATTTATAATTTTTTTATTTTTAAATTGTAATCTCTTTTATAAATAAATATATCTTTTTAATGATTTCTTCTATCTTTATAGTTACCTTCAATAAGTTGACTTGGAAATTTAAATTTCATGTTACTGATTTTTTTTCCATCTTAATGTGATAAAGTTTTATGTTCAACTCTAAGTAAACATTAATTAAAAATGGAATGTTAAAAATGTAACTAGTTTTGAACATTTTAATTTTAAAATCGTTATAGCATATATAAAATATAAAAAGTGAATAGAGAAAATTTTAAATTTAACATTATAGAATTTAAATTCTAATTCTTAAAATAAAAAATTTAACATTTTTATAAAAAAATTCAATATTTTACTAATAGAGATATAATTACTAGCAAGAGAGTAAAATTTATTAGATAAGAAATTATTTCATGTTGTTAATCTAAAAATTTACAGGAATTGAGCCCAATATAAATAAATAAATAAAAAAAGCTATAAAAACCTGGCCATAAAGGTTCATGGGCTGAGTCAGAATACAACAGAAAATTTCACTGCGATTGATTATATGGCGATTGCCACATCCCAGCGAGCATGTTGCTAAGCTATTGCTTAGCACATCTTATTTGCCCTTTTTACGCAGCATAATTCCGAAATATTTAACTGATTTGTGTCTTGTTAGAAGCAATGGCGCATTAACATACAAATTCTTGGGCTCGAATCTTTCTCTTCGAAATTAAAAAAAAAAAAAAAAAATTACTGAATTACCATATATCAATTTATTCCATGATTCTTTACACTAACAAATATTATGATAACTAGTTGTTATATTTTGATCCTGTGGTTCAAAGGAGAATTTGATCGGTAGATTTATTTTTCATATATTCTTTTTGAAATTAATAAATAATCAAGCCAAGCCCTAATTAACAGCAAACTTATGGGTCTCATGATCAGGGTTCTGTCCTGCTACACCTAAATTCTACTTGGGATTGACAAGAGTACAAACACTTGCATTTTGAAAAATTTTTCCTGGTCTACACAAATAGCCTTGGCTTGGAGCACAGTGAATGTCTTGTGAGCAAATACACAAACCTTCCAGAGCACATCCTTCCTTCAATGTTGTGACTTCATTTGTCAAACCAAGAATCTGGTCAGTCCACTCACTGGAAAATAGTCCAGATGGATCGTACATATTCTTAACCTTCAAGAATTTTCCAGCATTTTTGTATTTCTTGATCACCCCATCGAATGCCAGGTTCCGATTCTTCCCCCAATGTGGCAACGCTCCATATTTGAGCAGCCCGATTTGTTCAATTTCGTCTAAAATATCTTGGTAAAGCCTAGGAGCCATGGGATCTTTGCTCCTATAATAAGTGATATCAAAATCTATTGCGTCTTCTTGTTTGCCTAAGTAAGCGCTTGAAGCCTTGACGTAACGCATGAGGATTCCATTGTAAAGTTCTAAGCCACAAAATGCTTTAGGCTCCAGTGCTACTAGTGTCTGCACGTCTTCAATGAAGCTTTTCACTACTGACAAACCAATGCTGAATGTAGTTTGTTGAAAGAACTCACCCTTGATTCTTGGGTCCCAAGCGCATGCGTTGATCACCGAGTCATCTAGGCTATCCAGGCAGGTCCCCGATGATTGGAGACGGTCGTGGAATCCAATTACCGGATAGCCCGTAAAAATTATACCTACCTCAAACAAAAAGAAACAAAGATACGAAAATGAATGAAATGTACCTAAAATAAATTTGTCAATCATGTATAACTTGCAACTATTATTTTGCAGTCAAACAAATTATTTATCTACTCTCTAGTTAGCCTTTTGAAGGAGGGGTCCAGTTTATGAACTTATGGCTTGCCATCAACACCAACATTTAATATCTAGATATAGAATTCAGTTTTGCATAATTCCCACCGTTGTTTGTTAATCCATAGGCACCCATTTGTAGCGTGGATGTGAGTAGGTTCGCACTGAGGCACTTCCCATCAGCGTCTCTCAAGGATTCTTGGGTTTCCTCTGATTCATTGAAGTCATTATAAGCACATATATTGGGTTGAATATTAGTTGAAGTTCATTTATAGTAGTAGTAGTAATAATATTAAGTGCATGCTGATCGTCAACTAACCGGTACTTCTGACAAGTGCCAAAGCAAGTGAAGGAGTGGAGCGAAATGGAGTAAAATCATAGAGACCATTTCCGGATGCATTAGAGGAGACCCGATCGTCGATTCTGTAGACAGCCTTGCGTTGACTAGGGTACCAAAATATGTCAGCAAACTCGTGCATTTTGCCAAATGTTATGGCTTCATCTCCCAAATCTGTATCGTCCTTTGTCACGTAAGTAATGGATCGTTTGAAAAGGGGTTGAAGTTTGAAAGTCACCTATATGAAGAGGGAGAAAAACCCAAATCAGAAGGAAAAGTTATTAATTATATATATGGATGAGAAAATGATTCTAAATTAATATTCATAAGTAGTGCACATATGTCCATGCCTAAGACTGCAATATTTGATCCATATATAATCCCCCACATTTGTATAGTCCAATTTGTTTTATTTTTCTATCATTTTATCCTGTTTATGCCATTTTTTTAGGCTCTTTGATTTGCCTTGTGAGAAGTTGGAAGAAAAGGAAAAATGATAAAAGGAATTAAGTAATCTGTTTTTTCATTGAATAAAACATGCTCGATACTACTGCTACTACATGAAAATTTTCCATTGGCTTAATTTGGTGGCTAAGTTTTTGAGTCATGACAATTAAAAAACAGGACCATCAAAAGCTTTTGCAAGAAGCTTACTTATGAGTTTTCTCGCCAATTTATATAAATATATATATATATATATGTCCACGTCGAGCAATAATGGTACTCCTGTTCCTAGTCTAGGGCTTCAATTCCACCCAGCTCCCAGCTTCCAGTTTACTATTTATAGGAAATACTTGTCAAATTCTGTAGTTAATTTCGATGGTTCCCTAACCAGTACATTGAATAAATCTGTTTCCCAAAAAAATTAAATTATGTAGTTAATTTTTAAAATTTAAAATCTGATGCTTAATTTGTTTTTTTCTAGGTTTAATTATATGGTGGGGGAATAATGTATATTTTTTGTTGGAGTTAGATTGTTGGGCAGTGGAACTTCCGCATGCATTACAATCGTGATTCATGTGGATACGACTGGCACTTTAGGCTCATTTTCTGGTAATTAGATCATCTTATTGTAGCATATAAACAGTTGAGGAAAGGGTGTCACACCCTTTTTTTTAATGAAAAAATATTGCATATAACAGTTGAGGAAATCATACCAATTTACACAGTATAAATTTTTTAACTCTTAGTTTTAATAAATTTAAAAGATAAAAGAAATAAGTAAAAAATAAAAAAATTAATTTTATATCTATTAAAATTAATTATTAAAAAATATATAAAATTAAAAAAAAATTACACGATATAACTTAATCCAGCCTCTGTATATGTATTTGAAATGTCAATATATATTTTTCATTCAAATTATATCATATAATCTTATTTTTTAAAAATCATTTTTTAATTTTATTTTTGGATTTTTTTATATCGAAGCCGAGCATTTATCATAATGAAGCCAAAATGCCAATAAAAGGATATATAAATGTATGTATAATATTTTTTATTCAAAATATTGAGTTCAATCTTTCATTTGCAATTTTATTTGTTTAAAGAAAAAAACAGAATCAATCTTCCTCTCCTCCCCACCTTTGCCACTTACCTGCTTCCTTTCGCAATTGATGTATCTCGCGTCACTCTCGACGCATGATTAATTTTGGTTAAAATATAATTATATATATGTGTGTAAAACTTTAAGCAAAAGAAAATTTTTATTTTTGAACTCATGTAAGTACGAACCGATCAAGAATTATTTTTATTATCTTATCTCTTAAATTTTTTTTTTATAAGTGATTACAAATATTTTGTTAATTTATACTTTTAATTCGGCTTTTTATCAAAGTTAGTTGCATTTCTCCACCATTGCAATTTCCCTTTTTGTTGTATCCATTGGAGTTCTTATTTCTATAAAAAGTTAGTTTTCTTTTATTCTTTTAATATCTTAATCGATTAAAGGACTGCCTATTATTATTATTATTAAAACTAGTAGCACGAATTTCTATCTTATTTATGTTTGTCAGATTAAATATATAGTATATCTTGGGGGAGGTCCTAAGGTCAGCCTGGGATTTATTTTACAAAAATCTGACACGAAGAAAATAGTATAAAAAAGTACTTTTCTCCAGCTAATAAATCTGTTTTTTTATATTTGCTTTTACAAAATTTTTACTATCTTTTTTTTTTTTTTTGGTATGTGTGAGAATGATTTTTTCACTATTTTCCTAAACACTACCATTTATTGAGAAAATTATAGGCGACAACTAACTATGCTGAATCATCCTGAATTTTCTGTCCGAACTGTCAGGTACAAGTTGTGGAAGGGAAATTAATTAGTAAGGAACCGATCGAAAGCTTCTAGAGAAAAATTTCGCAATCCGAAAATCTTTTTGGTCGAAAGAATAGTTTACTTCATATCATCCAACCGAGAAAATCCCTAGAGTTGGTGACCGGAAATCGATCAGATTAAGGTAGTTTTTTGTTGTGTAGTGTCAATCAATGCGTAAAAACTTGCCTTCAATCTGGCCCCAACCAAAAGACATAGCAGGGGAGAAGGCAGCAGCAGCATGAAGCCAAAACAAGCACAAAAAACAAGAAGAAAATGGGGAGCAGAGAATTAAGTACCTGTGAAATTACACCAAGCACTCCGAGTGAAACCTTAGCTGCATCAAGATCTTTGTCCCGATCAGTCAGCACCCTGACCTTAGCATATCCTTCTTCGGGTCCTGCGGGGCTTACAATTCTCATCTCTATAACATAATCATTAACCGCGCTTCCTTTCCCCCACAACGAGCTCCCATGAGCTCCCGTCCCTAAAAGGCCTCCAATGGTTAGTCCCCACCAATACGGTGCATACGGTAATGCTAAGCCAGCCTTGGCGGCTTCTTGAATCAGTTGCCTCAACGTGACACCGCTCTCCACAGTAAATGTCATTGCCGCCGCATCGATTTTTACTACATGGTTGAGGTATTTCGTGCTAATAAGCAACCCGTCTTGGCCGTCGGGGCAGACCAATTTGGGAATGCTATGAGAGAAACGTGTTACCACTTTCATTTTCCTTTTGGCTTTGGTTGCTGCTGATACAATCGAAACGAGCTCTTGTTCCGTGGTTGGGTATGCCACGTTGCCTGCTCGGCAAACGGCTCGATCCGCAAAAGTGCCATAAGAGTTTGTGATTGTGCAGTTCGAATTTTTTGAGGAACATTTGACAGGCTCCTCTGGAGGGCTGCAACTCACCATAACAGCCAATAGGAAAAGGCATTCGAATAGGAGAAGCTCCCGAAACTCGTTTCTTTTTGTAGAATAAAGCATTGGTATGGTTGGAAGGTTGATGAAATTTTGCTTGGTTATATAATTAATTTGTCAGCTGTAAATGCAACTGGGAATTCACACCTTATATACTTGAGTAGCCTAGAAGGGGCTAATAACAAGAAATGCAACAATAGGTTTAAATGCTTTGAAGTTAAGGGCTTTTGAAAACGTTATTTCTTAGTAACTTCTTCTAGTATTTGATAGTAATAGTTTTTAACTCTTTTATCTTGTCTTTGTTTCTAACAGTAATATTTAATGTAGGTATTATTTTTCCTTTCCTTGGGTTCCTTTTTCTTTACTTGTTTGGTCTTAGTTAAGCCTAATATGTATAAGTGAAACTGATATTCTGGTAATTTATTTTGCTTGTAGACAAAGCCATTAATTGGAAGACAAGGACCATCCAATATATATTATTGCAACCTGATAGTTGGGACTAGAACTTCAGGACAAGTGGGCTGTAGTAGGTGACGGTTATTTAAAATTAAAATCATGTACAAGTTGACTTGCAGTCTTTGCCGAGGTGTATATATGGAAGCTCATAAATAGTGGAGGAAGCGTCGAGAATTGAATTTTGTTTAGGATTATTTCACCATGATCAGTGCGTACCAAGTGTCAAGGTTGGAGCCAAGTCAACACGCTTTCACGAGCCAGAAAACCAAAAAATTCCCAAGTCCTACTGGCAATTATATATGCCACATTAAAACATCATTCAAGTCGGTGGAAAGATTATGGGTTTGTTGTGGCAAAAGTCTACAAAATTCCATCGTGCTTTTGTGGAACTTCATCTTCACTAATTTTTGGTTTCCAGTATTTCTTTTTATCTGGCATTATCTTTCCTGCTCGTTTTAAACATTAAAATCCTGCTCTGACATTATTATTTGACTCGAGTATGGTTTGGTGAGATTCAATAACGTTGCATCTGCTCCGTTCATAACAACTCTTTGAATTAATCCCTTAATAGACAGCTTTTAAGTATATAGTCAAATCCTTCCTTAGAGTGACGCAAAGTAATTATTAAACATATACTATGTAACTTCTTTTTAACATGTAGGCCATAAATTGTAAATTTTTTATTTTCATTTGTACAAACTTTTTTCACAAAATTTAACAACAAAAACTACGTCAAGTATAACATGTTAATAGAATTTTTTAAAAAAATTATAATATTAATCAAATATTATATCTATAATCATTGAATAATTAAATAAATAAACTATCTAATAAATTAAAATATAATCAAATAAATTCAATATAAATTTAAACCAAACTAACACAAATAAAATTTGAAATTAAATCCTACAACAACTTTAAATAATAAAAAAAAAAACTAAAACGTACTTTCTTGCTTTTGTGCAAATTATCATTTATGAGTTTGGTTTCACGAATGACCGTCGAACGTTAGTAGATCAATAAAATCATGCGCAAGGGTAATCTGAATCAATACCCTAAATCATTTCCATGATTTTTTCTGACATAGGTTTTTAAAGCAGACCGTAGCACCAGCTATAAACATGGCAGCGCATGTGCCCCGTGTCAAGGAAACCATAAGGCATTGTGTACACATTGCATCTGGGTCTATATTTCCTCATCAGAATCTTCAGACTAATAATTATTACCGTCGAAGTCAATATACAAAGTTGTCAGTATTGCCGAACTGTTCTAAACTTGAATAACAATTTCGTCCAATAGAAATTTATTATATCGAAATCAGAGATTTGTTAAATAAATTATTTTTATTTAAAATTATTAAAATTTGAATCATAATCATTGAAATAAAAAATTTAATACTTTACTAATAATCCAAATGATTATTGACTGAATGAATCATTTTCTATCCTTAGCTAATAATCTATTCACAGCGAATGCTTCAATTTTATGCCTACTGTAGCTTTTTCTATATCAATGGTGAGTTAATCGTTTACAGCATTTTCCACAGTTGTTTAATCTTTTAATATAAATTGCGTAGGGATCCCCTGTTTATGGGTGTGTGGATGATTTTAAGTTCTGTATAAAATTTTAGTCGACTAACATAATTTATATTTTTATATTTAAAATTTAAATTATTAAAATTAATAATTAATATTTTATTAATGAAGTATGTAATTGTTATCGTAATAATTTTGGAACCTCTAGATGTAAGAATTTTAAAATTAAAAAAAAAATAAGAGAGTCGTCACTAATATTTTTTTAAGATGTGATTGATCACTCAAAAATTTATCTTCTTAATAAAATTATAAAAATAAGTTTAAAGTTTATCAAAAAGATAAAGTTTGATCTATGAAAAATCAAGTTGAGCTCAATAGTTGGTTATGTATAGGAAATGATTAACACCTCCATAACGTCCATAAATTGGTATCAATTAATCATATATTATTTTTAGTGCTGGATGGAATGATTTTATTTTGAAATTTAATATGAGTTTCTTTTATTAAAAAAATAAATTTAACTATTTTACTTAGGAATATTGAAGAAATCTTTAAGCTTAAAAATTATCTTAAAATTCTTTAACATCTAAGCAAATTTTAAAATAACTCTTTTCACTTAAAATTTAATACAATATTTTGTAAAATGAAAATAATATTTTTTTAGTAAATAATTATTAGTGACTCTCTAATATCTAGATAGATAATTAATAATTATTTTATCCAAAATGCTATTTTTGTTTTATTTTATAAATTCATGCTTTTAAAGTAAAAAATTTGTGTGAAAAAGTAAATGATGGAACTATCATATAATGAATAAAAATTAAAGGCATAAATATGCAAAGCAAGTGCAAAATGCAATTTAAAAAATGGATTCTTAAATATAATGAAATCATCTTGACTCTCCAACATCTAAGTAGAGTTTAGGTATAACTATTTATATTTAAAATTTCATTTTATTAGTATACTTTTATTATCAATCAGTTATTAATCCCATTGTTAAAACGAATTAAGGACCCACTTAAAAAACTTAATGGAATAAAGTTTTCTAAATACCTCATCATCTAGACGATATTCGAGAATAAATTATTCTACTTGAGATTTTTACATGTATCTTTAGAGTTTCAAAATGGTTTTAAATATAAGTTTAGATCGAAGTTTTAAGATTTAATGACTTTCAGGTGATGATTTGAGATTGTGTGCCAATTTTAGGATTTTTAGAATTTAGAATTTTTAGGTTTTAAATTTAAGGTTTGGGATTTTAGATTTTAGGGTTTTGATTTTGGAGTTTGAAGTTTGAGGTTTGGGTTTTTAGTTTCAGGGTTTGGGTTTTTAGTTTCAGGGTTTTGATTTTAGGTTTGGAGAATTTAAGGTTTAGGATTTTTAATTTTAGGGTTTGAGATTTTAGAGTTTTGGTTCAAAGGTTAGGGTTTTATGGTTTAAATTTTTTAATTAAAAAAATACAAACATTTTTAAAAATCTTCAATATTTAAGCTGATTTTGAGAGTAAGTTCGATTTTTATAATTTTCAAAAATTAATTAAAGTTTTTCATATATTTTCTTTTTACGAAAAATTATTATTATTTTTATTATCAATTTATTATTTTTTTAAATTTTTTTTAATTTCCCGACATCTAGATTGAATTATATTTTAAGATTTGAGATTTTTATTCCCTTCAACATCTAGGTAAGAAAAATAAAAAAATATTATTTTATTCTTATTATCATTATTTATTATTATTATTATTTATTGTTTTCATTTTTATTATTATTAAAAACAATCAAATATTTATTCTAATAAATTTAAAATTTTATCATGCATAAATATTAATAATAAAGCTCAAAATAACAAAAATAATAATATATAAAAAAACTTAAAAATTAAAAAAAGAATAAAAAAATAAAAAATATTTGAACTAAACCGATCAACGTCGGTCTGGGTCGGTCTGGTTAATTCGATGGTTCAAATTAGGTTTCTAGTGGTTCAATACCAATTCAACTGGATCGATCTAAAGCTGAAGCAGAAGTGGGTCGAAGATCGGGTTGCATAGACCACGAGTAGATGCGCAGATCTTTTTGGCTCAAAACGATGTTTCAACCATTTCCCTAAACGACAACGTTTCGAGTTTTAGATTTTTATAAAAACTAAAAAAAATTTTCACTCATTTTTCTCTCATCTTTCTCTCTACCTTTCTCATTTTCTCATAGCTTCTCTCTCTAGACGAGTCGACCGATAGTTATGTTGGTCGTCGTCTTCGATGGTCGATTGTTGATCACTAAAAAATCTAAAAAAACTTTCAGAAGCTTTCTTCAACGAAATCTTTTCAGATCTAGTCTTATTTTCATCAAAAGTAATCCCAATAAGTGTAGATCGAAGTTTAAAGTTTTTTATTTTTTTTATTTAAAAAAAAAATCAAAATTAATGTGTTTAATTTATTTTTGCAGGGAGCTTGGCATGCGTTCCTCGCATGGAGAGGACTGTTGTTGTTGTTTTTTTTTTTTTTTGGTTTTTGGAAGGGTGGAGAGTTCAATGGGAAATGATGTATGGTGATCAAGGGTCCTGATAGTGGCTGAATGAAGGTTTTTTTTTTTTTTTTCTTTATGCCTATGAGAGGTTTGATGCTTTAAAAAACTTGCCCTTTTGGGGCCATGGCTTTAAAAAGCAAGGGGTAAACAAAGTTTGCAGGATATGGGAATGATTGTAAGGGTAGCTATAGGGTTTTGGTGAGAGAACTAGATAGGGTATGGGTGTGGGCAGTGGGATGGGTGACAGTGATATCATGTAAGGCACCATTATAACCTCTGTCTTTTTTTTTTTTAATTTTTTATTATTAATTAATTTTAATATTAAAAAATAAAACTTAAAAATAAAATTTAATATCTACAACTGTTTCATTATAAATTTATATTTGAGATTTACTTAGCGTATAAGAGTAAGATTGCACGTGGTGTCCAGTGATGTTCTTTCACATGATAGGTAGAATCTAGCCTACTGACAAATTGCGGAACCAATTTTGAATCCAAGGGACTGGAGAGCGGAAGTGTTGGAGGTCCAGCAACTGCAAGCCTATTCGTTTCTGATTTTTAATATTAATTTCGCAAGCTTGGATTAGTGGCTGCCACATATAAATATAACTTTACATGTTTTTTCAAAGAACCCCAATAATTGTACGCCCAATGCGTTATAAATATTAATTTATGAATTTTTAGGTGATTTTGATCATATACTTAATATTGAATAGTTAGCACAAGTTTATCAAATAATTATAAATTAAAGGACAAAAGTAAGATAAAAATTTTCAAGTAAAATTTGTGATTTTTTTAATTAATATAATAAAAACTTTAATAAAAAATTAAAATTGATATATTGATAAAATTAAATGTGAACTTTAATAAAGTTTTTTTTATCTTTATACATTTATTAATTTGAATTTAAATTCAAATTTAAATATAAATAATTGAGTTTGAAGTTGAATGTAAGAATTAAAATTTTTTAGTAAATAACTAAATTTAATCAAATAATTTAATTTTTATTTTAAATTAAATTTTCAATCATATTCAAATTCAAAATTTTTACTATATCAATTCCTCTCGTTCGATTATACTTTTATTGCACGTTACATCAATTACAAAATTGATACATCAGCTGGGTCTATCACAGCCTTCACATTAAAATTTATTAGCGTCGAAGTCAATATACAAAGTTATCAGTACTGCCAAACTGTCCTAAACTTGAATATTAATTTGTTCATTACAATTTGTTTCAATGATAAATTATTTTGAAATTCAGGATTTATCATGTTAAAGTAATATTATTTTACAGCTATTAAATATTAAATTTTTTATAATTTTATATTTAAATTAAACCTTTTCTCTTATTAATAATTAATTTTAAATTAAATACTTAATATCTTAAATAAATCATTTTTCACCGTAACTCATCATCCATTCAAAGCAAATTCTTCAAAATTTGGCCAACTATAACTTTCTACATCAATAGCGAATTAACTACAATTCATTTACAACTATTTTCACAATTGTTGAATGAATCTAAAATATAAATGGCGCATAGATGCCCTATTTATGGGTGTGGGGATGATTTTAGGTTTCATATAAATTTTTTATGAACTATAATATATTTGTTGTTCCGATTGACTTAACTTGTAACTATAAGATTGTATTGAAAGGGATTGTAATTGATGTCGAATGGTCGATAAAAAAAAAAAAGTAAAAGGAAAATAAAGCCTTTTTCACGTCATGTTATTGGGAAAAATAATACATGTGGGTGATGTACTGTTCACGTGATGTGTTTATTACTAATAAGAACATATCAACGAAGTGGTTGGAACAAGAAAAATAATAGGTTGGATTGAGACGAGTTTTATTCGTTTTAAATTTGATTTAATTTTATATTTATAATATTTGAATTTGATTAAATTTAAAGATTTTTTTAAATTTTTTTTATATTTGAATTTGATTTAATATAATATTGTATAAATCATATTTGATATGATCCAATTTAAAATTAATAAAATATTACTTTTAAATATAAAATATTATTTTTAATATAAATATATAATATATAACTAAAAAATAAAATTTAATATACATCAAGTTAAGTCGGATTTATCTAAAACTTGATTTTAATTTTTTATTATTATTATTTAATTCGATTTGAAATTTGATTATAAAAAAAATTTAATCTTAAGAGGTCGAATCGAATCAAAACTTATCAAAACAAATTGAGATGTCAACTTTAAGCTGAAATAAGAAAAAGTGCTATCTAGAGTCGAGCTTCTTGGTAAATTGTGGAAACAATTTTGAATACAAGGGAGTGGATGGAGGGTGGAGGGATTGCATGCTTGACATGCAAGCATATTCATTTCTAATATTAATTTTGAATGATCGGATTTTGTGGTAATACGTATAAATATAATTTCAAAAGTTTTATTGAAGAACTTCAATATGTGTACTTGATTCTTTTCAATTTATATGGTTTTTTAGATGATTTTGATGAAATAACTAATATGGAATATTTAGCACTATTTTATCATAAAACTATAGACTACATTATTTGATATAATTGATGTGAGATGATGTGCTAGCATTATTTGATATGCAAATATAATTGATTATATTGGGAATATTAATTGATTATGTGATCATGAAATTCAAATAAAAAAATGATGAAAAATTGGATCATAAAAAAATTTGAGGTTTCCCTTCTCAATATCAATACTATATACAACATGGGCAACAAATTCTAATTTATAATTTAATAGCATGTTGATAAATGATAGTGTCTTGACTCTTGAATAAGTTTTTTTTTGGCCCTAGGCTCGTAACATTAATAGCCTGAGATTTTTCTTTTTTTTGGTTTTTTGGTCATCATTAAGCCTCTGCTGTGAGCCCAGCCTAATCCAAAAATCATAATAAAAGAGGGCCTAAGTTGACCCATCTTTACTTGTAAGTTGAAATATTGGACTTGGAAGGCGGCCCCATTTGGACATTACTACACCTATATCTGCCCATCGCTATTATCTTAATGGGCTTGCCTCGATCAGTTGTTCGATTCTGTTCGATAAAAATAGTTGACGGCAGATATTTTATCACAATACATTTTATCTTATGCTTTCTTTTTTTTTTTTGAAGGAATTTGTGAATTTAACTTGGATACGTCTTCTTCTGTATACATGCATGCATGAATTTCCTCTCTTTATTGTTCAAAAAAAAAAATCAAATACCCAATTAAAAAAATAAAGATATGAAGTAGCTACCGCAGATTTTGGCGTCTGATAGGGCTTGGTCTCTTATAAATGTTGTGCCGATGCTACTGTCAATGCACTCCCCAGTCAGATGAATGTCTCATCAATGGGTTTTTCAGTCCCTGAGATAAAATCGAACGGTTATAAACCATGGGATCACCAAATCTCAGGTTTATGACTAGTTAAAACCCTGTGGTATTTTGGGTTTTAATTGTGTCGCTGAAAGAATTTTTGTGGACACTATAACGAGAAAACAAGATAAACAAGTTTCAATATCATCATAGATTAGAACCAAGAAAATAGAATAAGAAATTATCATCATGAAATTCTCAATTTTCAAAGAATGCTTCCCTGCCCCTATCATTCTACCTCTCAACGTGCTCAAGACATCCAGAGAGGCAGTGATATCTTTTCTTAAAACCCAAAACCCCATGTAATTCAATTCCACGATCATTTATATTATAAATTTCTGTGAAAGATAAAACTGGCAATGGGCAATGGCACATGCTCTGTTTCAGCCTCTTAATTATTGCGATCAGGCCGCTCCTCTTGTGGACACGATAATAAGTTAGAAGCCGCTTTTTTTTTTGGTAACAGGTGTCTAGCCCACCAAAAGCAGCACTATTGGCTGTTGTGGTAAACATTACATTACCAATTTATAAAGCGATGTAGATGAGAAAGAAAACTCAGGCATCTAGTAATAGAATCCTGGCGGTCCTTCATTGCATGCAAGCTAGATTTTACTGTTGCTGTCGGTCCATTTACGATTTTTTCATTGGTTGGGATGAAAAGAAATTTGAAACTCCTAGGATTAGAACAGTTGTTAAGTGGATATAATTTTGGCCCCACTTACCTGATTTTGAATCCTAATTAGGTTCCTGAGTTAATGATAATTGAATTTTCAAGGATTCCAAAGTCATCTACAAATGGTTTCCTCCCACAAGATAAGAAGGGAAAGAAAGGGGGGGGGGGTGTGCGGAATCAAAACTGCAAATTTTAGCAATAACTCCCAATTGATTTGATCTACAATTTCTATTCAAGAGGGAGATGGTGGATTAGACACTTGAACAAACTTGAATACTGTACACGGAAGGATCATAGGCTTTATGTATAAGTAGAGGCAACCGAAAAACAGAAGAACAGAGTTACTTTATAGTAATATAGTCAAAAGAGTCACTCAATTTGGTTATGAATCTTCTGAAATAAGAACCCAGTGAGGAGGTCATCACATTTGCCTCACTTATAGATTCCATTTTAAACAAAAATTGAGGAAAGAAAACAAAATCAACAATGAACACACTTTAATCACCCGATTAGCTAGCCGAATAGCCACCCCTCTTCCCTCTATAAAACTGATGAAAGCACATTAGGCAAAGAAGCTACGCAGTTACTGTTTCTCAAGTTTTACCAAGGATCACCTCAACCACCTTCTAAGATCACTAGTTGAAGATGGGGAGATCTCTCCGCCAAGGCTATCAGTACAGCAAGAAGAATAGTTAGACTGTTGTTCCAATCCAAAATGTGATCCACTTATGCTCTTAAAACTTGGACTCCTCAAATTATGACCACAACCTCCATATCCCATCCCAACACCATAAGGTTCTGGGACTGGAAATGCTAGCCGTTTCCTGGCTGAAACGATTCTGTCCCTCTCTGGTGTAGATGGCCTCTGCCTTGGTGCACTTTGAGACCTGATTCTAGCCTTTGCAGACTCAGTTGCTGCCATGTAATTAGGCAATATAGCAGCATTATTGCCACTACCACTAGTATGAGTACCAACCCTGCCAGTGTAATAGTAATTGGACCTTAAGCTTGGTGTTTGAGATGAAACTGAGCTTCTATCTTCTCTAAGACAACGAGGGCTCGCGGACCGAACTTGAATAGGCGGGGTTTTGGATGGAGAGGGTGTAATAGGGGGAGCATTCTGTTGAGCTCTATGTAGAGGTGAACCAGGCCTTTGATTTTGGGGTTGATGTTGGTGATATTGGTTTAAGATGGTTCTTCGATAATTAGGTGCTAAATATGAGTAAGGCTGGGAAGTGTCCATTTCTACAGTTTTGACAGGATCTCTTTGATCTGTTGAAGCTCTTCCTCTGTTATCCCAAGGCTTAGCAGGCATCCAACGGTCAAGCCATTTTGGCCTATCTTCAAGCTTATCTTCACCACCCATTGACGGACTCCTACGAGCTCTCCGCATCTATTTGGGAAATATAGCTTGTGGGAATCAGTAGAACAAAACAGAGGAAGTATTTAAGGCATGGTGGTTAAGAGCAAAAGAATTAACCTGTTGAGATAATGCCTGGGATAAGTTCTTTTCACGCTTCAAAGCAGCTTCTTTTTTGTGTTGTAACATAGCTTTGGCTTCCTCAACTGTGTTTGGCCTTTCATCCCAATCATCTGCAATGCTACTTCCTTCTCTTGACTGGAATACACACATGCCATGGAAAGACAATAAGAATCAGAATCTTTAAAGTCAAAAAACAAAACAGGTAAACTGCTTCCATACTATTGCTTTTCAAACCATGATTTTGTTTTCTTTTCCTTTTTCTTTTTACTATTAATTTCCAAAACATCTGCTACTTCCTTTTCAATATCATCATTGCTTACAAAAGAAAGAAAGAAAAAATGAACTTTCAGACTTTCAGTATCTGACTTAAACAACTTACTAGTGATCTTCTGTCCGAAATGTCTTGAAGATACCGTGATTCCAACACGCTATTTGTATCGCTAAAAGCGGATTTTCTTCTTCCATCATCCGAGAGCCTCATTCTTTGATCAAGTACCCGAGCTTGAACTCTAACCAGAGCTTGCATGCACCGGAGTGTCATCTTGGCTTGCTTTCTCACATTGTGACCTCTTACTAAAGCTTGCAACTTCACTAATCCTTTCAGTGCATGAAGAGCTCTCCTTGCCTTCACAATCACCACACAAAATCAAAGCCAAATAATACCATTTTCTGCACCTAATTTTGGATGGACTAAACTTTCTTACCAGGTAGCCTCTAAAAGCTGTTTGAATAACAATGGCAGCATAGTGGTGTCCTCTAGCATAATTGGAAGGTCTAGTGAACTGAGCCACTTGTACAGCCGCCTGTGCCGTAGCCAGAGCAGCCTCAGCTGCCGTTGCCTTACCCACCGCCACAGCAATAGCATGCCTTCGCTCTGCTGTTGCCACAGTAGCACAATCAGTTGCTGCACCTGCACCATTACCTGAAGCCTTCACTGTTGTTTGTTGCGTCACGGTTTCTTGACTTGCGGGTTTACGAAAGATCCACCTTCGCTTATCTCTCTTCTATCAAAAGTCAAAACCAGATCAAGAATTTTATTTATTTTAGAGCCATTAAAAAAGATTCAACTTCATTTATTTTTTGTTTGTTCAGTTTTCCTGCTATAGAATTTAATGAAGAATTAATACAACCACAAACCTTTTCTTCATCTTCTTCTTGCTGGTCAGGTTCTTCCTTTCTTCTGTTACTTCTTTTGTCATGACTCTCTTTAGTAGGAGATCTAAAAGCCCTTTTCACAGCAGTCAACCATGAAGTCCCCCCCTTCTTCCCCATAAAAATATAAGGTTAACCAAGCTGCATTACATCAAACACAGCTAAAAAAGATAAGTAGAAAGATCCGGAACGGTGAGATAAAGATGACGATGGGAATATGGATTCTTGTTTAAATGACAGTGCCCACCACTTTTAAATGCCAGAGGAAGACAGCGAGGAACAGATAATTGAATGATATTTTAGTTTTCCCAAGAGAAGGGGGGGGGGGGGACAACCAAACCAACAGGTTAGATTCAAACTGTTGAATTTATATTTAAGCTTGGTCACTTGGTGCACTTTTTTTGGTGGCATGGGAAGACATAACATAGACGGTGGTGGTGTCAGAATGTTGTACGTCAACAACTTTTGCATGTAGATAAATTTTTAATAAAAGTGTAAAAAAAGTTGAAAAGAAGATGGGTGTTTTGAGAGTGTTATTGTGTAATAAATAAAGTACCACTTATTTAGAGAGAACGTGGGAAACAGGGTGTGGTGGAGGCGCGAGGAGCGTCGAAAGCCACGAGAACACAGAAAACATGAAAAGAAAGGGAAACCACGTTGAGTTTGCACATCAACCAATGCCCCAAACGCTTTTTTTCTTTTAGGTATTCACTACCCACACTACTTAAAAGAGAAAGCTTTCTCTGGTATAAAATTTTCCCTTATTGTGGATAAAAAAAAAAGGTTTGAGTGTCTCAATTTTTTTTTTCTCTTAAAAAATTAATAACGATTGGACACCTCTCGTGGTATCACGTGGTAGGGACTGAGCAAGTAGTCAAAAATCAGGAGGATGATGGAGCACGGCGGTCCATTTTTCTTTGTTTGATTAAATGGAAAGGGACGTTATAATTAGAAGATGCTATGATGAGAAAAGAGGAATCCGGTGGTCCAAGACCATGATTATGATAGTTGCGAGCTTTTGGAGATGTACTGCCACCTAGTCGGCATTGAATCTATAAACATCCAAACATTGATCCTTGGCTTTGGTTCCTCACGGTCTGTCAAAGACGGAGACTTACAGATTCGTTGGAAAAACCAGCTGAAATAATAACAATAAAATCAGCGGAAGATCGTAGCCCGTGCAAAAACAGATCCATACAGCTAATGTGGGTTGAACTTGTACCAAGTTAAAAAGTAACTGATTTATTACCCATGAAGGGAAATTTGTTGGGTATTATTTGTTTGAATATTGACTCAAATCTCATAAGAGATTTGTTTGAGATTTATCAGATATTACTTGATGGACAAGAAGACTTGTAAAAAAAGAATTTCAAGAGAAAGAAGATTCTTAATAGGTAAGTTTGACTTGCAAGAGAAAAATTCTAAAAGGAAAATGATTCTTAATAAGTAAGTTTAACTTACAGGAGAAGAATTATAAGAGGAGAGGGATTCTTAATGGACAAATTTGTATGGTTATAAATAGGTGAAGTCTCTACAGGTTAGGTATGAGAAAAAGATGTAAGAAAGTTGTAAGATTTTGTGAGATAGACACCCCATAGAAATATTGGAGCTCTACATCTTATGGGTGTGTATGTTTGTTTATGAGTGAACTAGAAGAGATTGAGAGAATCCACATAGGTATGATGTATGAGAACATATGGGTATGTGTTTGGTTGTGTTGAAAAGGTGCACAAGAGTTTGAGTTTATGTTTGTTTTGGTTGAAAATATTTCATAGGACTAGAAGAGATTGAGAGTGTCTTATGAGTATTGATTGTTTAGTGAAGTTGATGATTTGATGTAAGTTTATAATTCTCTATAACTAGTGGATCTTTTTTCTCATCCGTGGATGTAGGTCAGTTGACCGAACCACATTAAATTATTGTCTCTTATATGTTTGATTTATTGTTTGATTTCGTTTCCGGTAATGTGATTGGATTTGAGGCTTTTAGCCCAATACTATTAAGTGTTTATAAAGAAGACCTGAAATTCATTTGGACCATGGGCTCATCGAGTTTCAAAGGGAGGGAAAAATGCCTTCACAAGGCTAGAGTTGTTGCGAAAGTCTTTAGATTTATAGTCCAATATCAGAGCGAGGGAACAACTCTAGTTGGGTTTTTAGTTTTTACATGTTGTTTGGGCTTAAATTGACATTTGATCATGACAATTGAAGAAACCACTTCACGGTGCTCACATCGTCATAAGCTCCGTCATTGGTTTTGGAAAAGGAACAGAATCCCAAATAGTCCAAGGTCTATTGGCCTTTTTGGAAAGTTGAAACCCAACTAAGCCCATAAAACCAACAGTAGGAAAAAGCCCCTTCCTTCCTTCCTCCTGCCTTTTCTTGGGTAATCATCGGTCTGATACATTTTTGTCAAAAAAAAACGAAAAATCCATTAAGATTTTAAAATTTTAATTATGGAATGAAAATGGAAGATTTTCCTTTTGAAGAGGTAGCGTGGGAGTGAGGCGGGGCTCTATACAAACAGAAGAAGTCGCACAAACAAAAAGTATACCTTTTGAGATACAATAATAATTAGATGAAAACTATATAAAAGAAATTAATTATTAGTAGTTGAAACTTTTTGGTGGGATGAATGAGAACAAAAAACCAATAAAGATAGATTCAAAATTCAGTTAAAAATTTTCATTTCATACAATAGTTTTTTTTTTTTGGATAATTGAAATTTTATTCTAAAATCCAAATAAAGCAGGATTACAGATAATGGAAACCAGAAGCAGCAGCAATCTTACAAAGCTAACTTCCACCCCATTTTATTAAAAAATCATTGGAAAACGGAGAATGAAATAATAATAGCACACGATCGATCACAATTTATTGAAACACTGCTTCTGAAGTTGTTGGCTTCCCGGAATGTAAGAAAGAGAGAGTAGGCAGATTTTTCTTTCAAGGAGAGTGAGTTCCTCTGACCAATTGCTAGGGGATCTTTGAACCCGAGATCTCTGCAAAATCTTTTGCCATACAACTTTTGAATAACAGCAAGAGAAAAATCAATGACCACGATCCTCCTGGCAAATTAAGCAAGTAACAGATTCAACTGATATTCCCCTAAATGATCAAGTATTGGCGGCCAAGTAATCAGGAAAATTTTGGAACATGCTTTGGAAACCATACTAGTTTATGCTAAGGGACCTTAGGTAACTTTGTCTCGAAACAATTCCAAGTTTCTGCAGAATTAAATTTACCAGAACTTGAAGCAAGCCAGGTGGCATCGATTGTATGAAAATCAAATTTCTAGCCAACTCTCTTAATTTAAAAAATTTCTCAACTCCAGGTATGCAGTTTTATTAAGTAAGCACGGACCCATGCAGCCCAAATAGAACCTCATGTACAAAAAAGTGCCCAAATATCCATAGATATGCAGCGCACATTTGATTCAATTTCTGGATAACTCTCCCTGGCAAATTAAATAAACAGGGAACATAAAAAATTCTGCAAATTTGAACAACACAGATTGTATTAATTATAATCTATCTGCATAAGAAGGCCTCTTGGAAGCCCAACTATTGATACGACTTACGTACATAAATTTTTTGGAGAGGCTCACAATGCTTGTCAGTTAACCTACCAGCGACAAGGGGAACCCCTAACAGGTAGATGGTCAAGCTTGAAACCAGACCCATTCTGAATTTCTTTGAGAATATATATCAGCTTGTCTATTTGCAGAGAATAACTCAGTTTTACTATTATTTAACTGTTGTCCAGACATAATATAAAATTGCTTCATCACTTTATGAATGCCATAAACTGATCATTCCTTTTTACCATTGGTAAATACCATCGAATCCTCGGCAAAGTACAAATGTGGTAGATTAACCCTCTTACAACAAGGATGGTATCCATATGATACGGTAGTCAAGACTGTCAAGTCCTCTTAATTTGACATCATATATTATATATCAAATTTTATCATACACAAAAAATAGTGCATGGACACTCTAGACTACAAGGTTTGACCGTCCAGTACGCTGCGAAATAAAAAGGCACAATAAGTGTCCGAAGAAAGGCTAACAAAAAAATAGTAGAAAGTTTAAGGCAAAAGTAAGAATTTTGTCATAATATATATATTTATGAATCTATAACTAGATTTATCAAATGAATGGAGTCGTCATTAATTTTTTTATTAGGTGTAATTGGTCACTTGAAGAATCTATCCTTTTAAGGAGTTCCTAAGCTTGGTCAAAGATCCTTAAAAGAATAAATTCGGATCTACTAACCAAAACAGGGTTCGAGAGTTGCGTTACATGTGGAGAAGGTTATAGCACCCCCACATGCCCATCAAATGATAGTCTATGGTCTTGAGTCTAATGGTTTCAAATTTTTATGTTGAAATATTGAAAATAATTTATAAGAGTCTCCATCAATCTGGTAGAATTCTTAAAAAATACTTCATCACTTCAAGAGTATTCAAGAATTCCATTTGATTTTTTGAAGAGGTTCCGTCTTCGAAAAAATATTTATTTATTATTTTTTATTATTATCATTTTTTGTTGAAAATAGATCTAATTATTACACCATTTGAGTCAAATTAAAAATATTTTCTCTTTTGAATTTATAAAATTTTCACTATTTGGACCTATTTAGAATTTTTTTTTTTGGAAAAAAATAATATGACAATTATTTTTATTGAAATTTCATCTAAGTTATTCCACAATTTGGGTCAAATTTAAAGAAAATTTCTCACCTAGAGATTTATTAAAAATTTATCATTTGAAACTTCTAAGAATCTCATCATTGGTAATTATTATATATTTTCAAGCCAAATTTTTTGTTTGGAAAAAAGAATACAATTACTTTTGTTGAAACTTTCATCTAAATTATCCATCATTTGGAATAAATTTAGATAAAATTTTTCATCTAGAGATTTTTTAAGAATTTATCATTTGAAATTTCTAAGAATCTTATCATTGGATAATTTGTATTTAATTCCCACAATTTTTATATATTTTTTTCATTTTTTATTTTTTTTGTTTGAAAATAAATATTAATTATTATTATTAAAACTTTATCTAAATTATTCCACAATTTGTGACAAGTTTAAACAAAATTTCTCACCTAAGAATTTCATAAAAATTTAACATTTGAAATTTTTATAAATTTCATCATTAGATAATTAATATTTATTTCAAAAATTTTTATTTTTATTATTTTATTGAATAAAATAAGCAAATAAATAAAATAAATAAAGAATTAAATAAATGAATACACACATA